CCTGTTTGTTATCGCCTGGTGATCGCCACGTACATAGATATATACGCCAATGTGACAATTTATGATAAATTTAAATATTAACATTTATCAGATTATATGAAACTGTATAAAGAAACGAGTAAGCTTAAAAATGGATCAAATAATATTATTTGAATCACGCCTTTAATTTCTTCACGCTTACGAAGCTGCTTTGTATTAGCTAATCGCTAGATTCTTTTGCTTAAAACTCGAGAATTATATATATATATATATATTTGCTTTGTTAATGACCGGACGCCTTCCTTGTGTAGCATTCATTTGTATCTTTGTATATCACAAATAAGGCGTACGAATGCGAGAAAAAGATGTAAAGTTGTTCGATACTGAGTCTTACATTTTACAATACTGTACTTTTTACTTAAGTACCAAAAATCAGGGTCCCACTTACGATTACCATTATTCGATACAAGTCACCAATCGGATTGTCTTTAACTACTTTCACCTGTTTTGAACCAAAACAAGGCTAAAAAAGATTCTTCGTCGGTACAAATACAATGATTCGGAATAATTTGAAGTAGGAACAAGTCATGTGTACCACATGCTGAACCAAATAATACGCAGCATAATTACTGTATGACGTTCAGAACAACAACTAGTATGACGAGGTATTTGAAACAGATTATTATGATATAACGAGTACATTATTGAAGAAAAGAAAATATTATTATGTGTTTGCCAAGACAGGTGAGCTTAGGTAATTAGACTTATCATCCATTGGTATATCATGTAAAAACTACCGACTTATTTAGAATAATGGTTAAGTACCATACAATACAAGTTCAAAATAAGTTTTGAGATAAGTCACGTGTTAAAATAAGTCTCAAATCGTGTTAGCTCAGAGCCGAGGCCACAACCTGCGGGATTATTCCGATAAACATTCTTGTTCCTAGACCAATGCAACCACGCAAGCCAGCGTTTCCGAGCCATCTCATAGCTGTTTAAAACAGAGCTGTCGCTCTTTGTAGAATATGATAAAAAGCGTAGTGCTAGCATATTTATTTGATTGGAGTGGAGATTGAAGTGAAGTGGTAGAGCCGTATTCTTCAACTATACTTGCCAAGCTTTCATATTAGATTGGCAAGAAGTGATTGCAAGGTCGATTGCAATGAATTTATAACTATTGTTAGAAGTAGGGAGTGGTTGATACAACCCCACGGAATGACAAACATGTTGAAACCGATCAATTTCTGAAGTTTTACGTTTTTACAACGAAATTCTCAGGTATAGTTTTTATATTGTTGCAGGGTTGCCGTGATAAATTATGCTATTACGAAGTTCAGACCAGATTTTATGAAATTCATTTGCCATCCTGGAATCTATAATTGATTGTAATTTTTCCTTTTGTTTTTCAGTTCTTAGATCTGAGTCATTTATATGTATTACTTAATACTAAATAAAGATTTAGTTATTTATAAGATTTACACAGCTTACATGAAGTGTGCATGTAGTATGCGTAGGGTTTGAAGTATATTTATTCCAGACAGTCGTGGCAAGGTTAGAAAGCGTAAGTTTAATATTAAGAACAGTTTTCAGTATTTTTTACTAAAAATAACATAAAGTGGATAATTGCATACAATGATCTTCAAAACCTTTCAAGAATTTGGTAGATCGTGCAATTTTTCTTCAGTACATAGCACCACTTATATATCAAAATGATCATGTTGGCCACCTCGGACACCTCATACACGACATTTCTAATTTTGCATGTTTCTCTCATTACCTCAAAAGAGTGAGCAACCCATTTGGTTTACTTTTGTTATTTTCAAGAGAAAATATGTTATCATCTATCTATCTGGCAGATAGTCCTTAAATTGCAGAAAACTTAGAATTCTTTACATAGTTATAGTGTACTGCACTTGAGATTGGAGCTTGATATATATTGGATTTAGATAAACAAGCTTTTGAATGGCATGCGACACCATTAAATTTATTTAAGAATTATTTGTGGTGCAACCAATTTATCAACTGTCCTGCACTAAATTTTTTCAAACATTAATTGTTTCGATATTCCTTTTTCTTTTGAAATGTATTACAGCACGTCCTCGATAACTATATTACGGTAGAACAACCATAGTGATCGAGTCAACACTTCACACCAATGAGCCTAGCCTCGTAATAGGCATTGAAAGACTTGTGTTATGGGCTAACGCATAGAAATGCATAATGATGATATTTGTTAACAACCAAGACTTAGGCACAGATGCTTGTTTTAATCATACAATGATTTGCCCCACCGGGGTGAACCCAAGACCTCGGAGTATGCGACACCTTTAAAACCACGTACATTGCACTTCACAACTGGGTACGTCAATATTCGATGTTCGATCTTTATAGTCTATTAGTAGTTAGAGGGTAGTTTATAGCTGATACTTATGTGTGTACGCAAACCATGAGCGGGTATGTTGCGTTGCGTCGATGTATGGATTTCCACGCGATGGAAGTAATGAATTATGTCAAGCGACATTTATTATATTTTCAATTTACTTATTTTTAATGTTTCGAATCGTTTACACTTTTACAGACCCCATGGTCACAAAAATAAATTATGAATCACGAATAGACTATATGTTAAATTATGCATAATTTGCTCCACTCGAGTGTCGTATGTTACCGGTGCTTACATAATAGTACGAACTCCATAAGCGAACATGTTCTAAGGAAAACATATATTGAGCTTCACGTAATGGAAATAATATATTATGTGTGATATGACCCCATAAGGTCGATTATAAGATTGATGAGGATATTCCTCCATCAACGATATTTTGTTACCGATACTTGTATGTGTAGGCAAGCCATGGAAGGCATGTCTTTATTCATAATGAGTTCCATACGGTGGAAGCAAATTATACATAATATGCCGCCGCGAGGGGCGGTCATTAGAGTTTTGGTAATATGCACCCTGCGAGGGTGGTTTGCTACCGTTACTCGTATATGTAGGCAAGGCATTAGAGTCATTTCATAAGGTTCCACGTAGTGGAAACAAATTGTATATAATATGCACCCCGCGAGGGTGATTTGCTGCCGGTACTCGTATATGTAGGCAAGGCATTAGAAGCATTTCATAAGGTTCCACGTAGTGGAAACAAATTGTATTTAATATGCACCCCGCGAGGGTGATTTGCTTCCGGTACTCGTATATGTAGGCAAGGCATTTGACGCATTTCATAAGATTCCACGTAGTGGAAACAAATTATATATAATATGCACCCTGCGAGGGTGATTTGCCACCGGTACTGTAGCGGTACGCCATGGGAGGGCATGTCCTGACACGCCTTGGGCTTCATGAGATGAAGCTTATGAGTATCACTTGCCCCTGCGCGAGTTGAATCCATGACTAATTCTGACTTAATACGAGAAAAACAATCTCAAAAGCTCTGAATCATTATGGGTGATTAGATGGTATCTTATTAAGTGGCGCTTCATCACAGAGATCACTAACTTCTTAAGCAGTGCTTTAGTTTTTACTTTTTAGCTTTGTGCCCTCACTAGCTGTAAAAGACCTAAGAAACGATCCTGTTATCTTATCACTTTCGTTATTAAAATTAACTGAACAGGTGCCTTCCCGCAATGATTCATTTTTATTTTAGAAATATGCAATTGCTGAAAGAAAATTAATGTCAGGAACGTGATATATCATAAATTATCATCATACTTCTTTACCTCGTTGTTTGTTTCCAGGTTGGTAAAGCCTGGACTATGATTATAATTCAATTTACATCAGCATATCATTTAAAATAAACGTTGAATGTCTTTCGAACAGAGCGTTCCTTTATCCTAGTTTAGTCACACGACTCACATGAGAATTTTTATTACGTGTATTGGTCAGTAAAAATGTTAGAACTTTTTATTCATAAGCCTTTTGATATTGATAACTGGCCATGTTCAGAAAAAGGCATATCGACATTAGAAATACCTTATTAAGATTGTACATAGTTCACTTACCCCTCGAACAATCTTTTAATAAAAGGGCCGGAATATCAAGCTCGCTTACTTTTCTTGAGATAGCGATGCCGCTTTCGTTATACCAGAAGATGACAAATTCAACCATCTTGCTGTTTTTGCCACTAATGCCAGTCAGTTGGCGGCTGAAACGTCAATATTGACCGATGTTCCTTCACTCTAAACTATAAAATAATTTAATTAAGTATTTTGTAATACATTTACCAATTTACTTTCACACTTACTTATACGGAAACATTAATTGAGTACCAAGAGAAAACACTCTTAAAATAGTTTTTATTACAAACGACCAAGACAGTCGTAAAGTATTGCAAAATTTACTTTAATGTAGGTACTTTAATTTTTTAAACAAAACGCACCTTGAATGGCCGTCAAGTTTTACTCACAGCTTATTATAACTTTTTTAAACAAGGGTATTGCACAATTTAACATATTTGTTTTAAATATCCCTTATCACAAGGGCTCCAAAAACTATCAAAAAGAATAATAGTTTTACTTACGGTTCCTTCACTTTTAACACGTAAAGTACCTATTTGGAATAACACGAACGGCAAAAACCGTTAAAATAAAATAGTTTTACTTACAGTTTTATCACTTAATAATAATAAAACCTTTAAAATCTCACAACGATCGCTCAGATTGAGCACGTGTTGCTTCGACGGGAGTCAGAACGCCAATGGGTTAATATGGCGCTGTCAAAACTTAGCAAAACAAAAATGGCCGCGCTTCTGCCAGGTGTCGCCACTGGACCGGATACAAGGTGAATAAAAGTACGGAAACTGATGGTAATTCGACGGGAAACGGAAGTGCTATCTCAATATAAAGCTTTCAGTGACGGTCAAGTAGTTTAATATGATTTTAAGTACTTTTTTTTAATGAAAAATGAGAAGCTGGCTGACATATCAAAACGCTTTATCTTTCATTTCTCTAGCATGTGATAACAAAAGTTTATAGACAAAGTTTTTATGAAATTTGTTTACATTTTGGATCAACCTTACCTCTCAACTACTCTATCATAGTCATCGGTGATGATGACGGATGACTTCATGACCTTGTTCTGGTTGAAGTCCTTCGAGTGCAGGTGGTATTGCGTGGTCACCCATCCTATGTACACGTGCGTTGGATCCTGGCCGGGGAATATTCTAGAAAAAAAGAGAATATGTTAATTTTGTCACCATCGTCATTAGCCTATTAATGTCCCCACTGCTGGGGCACATGTCTTCCCTATGGATGGAATAGGGAGATTGGGCCATGACCCACCACGCGGGCCCAGTGCGGTTTGGCGGATGCTAATGACTGCAGATGCAGCCGGGCCCAACGGCTTAACGTGCTTTCCGAAGCACGGAGGAATTCGAGATAGTAAATTTTTGGTCACCCATCCAATGACCGACCACTGCGAAAGTTGCTTAACTTCGACAATCGCAGCCATCGAGCTCCTTAATTTGTTAATATATAAAATAAATTAACAGGAATAAATAAGATTGTTTAAGCATTCAAACTTTGTAGCAACGATATCAAAAATCCTAGAAACAATATCACGAACAAGATCGTGGCTGAAAACTGTCCAAAAGGTACACTGAACCATCCACTGAGCTCTGTGGGATGATCGCGTTGCCAAAAACAATATAATGCAATATTAAAACATTTCCAGTCACCATTAATGCAAAGTGCACCTTACGAAGAGGAAGGTTCTGGTGCTCTGAGATAGAAGCCTTCGCTTAGTTCAGGCACCAGTCTCTCGCAATCTTATGAATCATACAAATATTGTTTATATTACTAGCTATATTACTATATTACTAGCTGACCCAGCGAACTTCGTACCGCCATAAAAAAAAAAATAAAAAAACATTGTCCAGCGGACAAAATTGTGAATCTAAACCATTCTCAGATCCCCTTGAACACACACAAAAAATTTCATCAAAATCGGTCCAGTCGTTTAAGAGAAGTTCAGTGACATACACACTCACAGAAGAATTATATATATAAAGATAAGCTGTAACATGTTCTCAAAATATCTGAACAAAAATATAAGTTATTATACTGCCGTTCACAAAGTCTATCTCTGTCTATCTGTCTTTAACAAGTGTTCGTATCTTTTATGGTTTGAGTCTAAAAATCCGTCATGAGATCAATGGTTACAAAATATCAATATTTCAAAGTTTACGCGCCGTTTATTTGGTCATATCTCAAAAGTTGGTTTTGTTATTTAGCCACGTTTTAGTTTGAGGACGGCAATATATAAGGTTCTAATTTAAACGCATACGTCAAGCTATGACAGTTCGGGTTTTTAATATCGTTATTAACACTTATTCAACAGGAATCGGTAAAATTATTATGGGGCCCGGGTTGGTGGGTTATAACTACTCCAGATGCAGCCGTGATTAACAAGCTTACATGCCTTCTAAAGCACAGAGTAGTTACATATCCTAAATTGTTGGTCCATTTATCGTAACAAACTATGATGTTTAGGAAAGTTTATGTCACCAGTTGGCGACACTGTGAAAAGAGGTCTTTTGTATGAAGTTTTTAGCGCGAACTAATTGAACAATCATTTAAATTGATCCATATACTAAGACGACGATGGAGGAGGAGTAACCTTTCTTCTCAGTGTTGCCAACTGGCGCTCGTCATTCTGGAAAACCCTCATTTAATAGCCTTTTAAAATTACGGACACCGTGGCAGGGTTTCTTGCCATCATGACATCGTCTCCAGCCCTGGCACTGACCTGACTCCATAGAAATACTCGTTGATGAGCTTCAAGCATTCAGCATCGAAGATCTCGTTGCCCACGGTCTCCGTTGTAGCCGCGGCTAGTGTGCTGGTAGTCATCTGCTTCCGGTCTTGCGTAGGTGTCTGCATCTGTAGATTGGTCTGTAAATTTAATCTATGTTTTATATCGAACGATGGTTAATGAGGGTGGATTTTCTGATGGCATACGCAGCGGCAAACTTGTTGAGCAAAATCACAGACAAATACGCTTGCGCAGTAGACCTTTTCGTATGTAAAATTGCTACTGCGCACGCTTCCTTGTCTATGGTTACTGCTCAAGAAGTTTGCTGGGACTACGCTTGCCGACGCTACGCCTAACCTAACCTAACCTAATACCATCCCGTACATCCTACTATAGGAAGACCGCTTAACTGAGACCTCGCCTGCGGGGTACGGGGTGTCATCCTCCCCCACACCCTGTACCTCCCCCGCACGCGCGGTCTCAGTTAAGCGGTCTACCTATAGTAGAAACTTTAATCACTTTGAACAAAAATAATATAACTTAGCTTTAGAATTCTGTAAAGTACTTGTAATTTATTTATACACTGAAGAAAATTGTTGAATAAGGATATTGGCTGCAGACTCCCACTTAGAGGAAATCAAATCTCTAGATATATTTAGTTTTCGTGTAAGCTATCGGGTTAAAGGAGACTAGCAAACCAGTGAACCAAATGTTCACCAAAAAAAAAACAAACAAAAAAAAGGATTTAATTAATTGAGAACTTCGGAGACTTTGTGTGGTTTCGTTTGAAATAGAAATCACGTGATTTCTCGAAAACCGGAAGTGCTACGTTACTCACATCCGGTTTGTAGTCTTATCAGACTATTCTTAACTTATAACTTAAACATTCTTTATATCTATCTCTTACGGTTTGGCCGCTGATACAGCACCACGGACGGACGGACGGACTTGTCTAATAGATAAGAGATTCTTTAATTTGGTAGTCTCAATAAAAATAGATCTATAAGATCGCAGATACTACAGTTTCCTTGTTAATACTATTGTTCTCTAATAACAATAATGCGCCTACGCAGTCAATATAGAGGAGATAAAATTTGATAGCTATTCTAATAACCAATATAGCTTAAGTTATTCTAGCTTAAGGATGTTAGGTTTTTGGCTAAGGTTAATTTATTTCTATTTGAGTTTCACATTAAGTAAGTGAAGAAGATAAGATGTTATTAGATTTAAGATAGTATTAAACCTAGTATAGAATTCAACTGCTAGAATAGATACGAAGTAGTGAAATGTATTAATTATCTTTTTAATAGGGCAGACAGGAAAGACTACTGAAGGAAGAACTTATAGATAAAATTATTAATAGGGAAAATCCAAACTAACAAACCTGTTAGTGGAAGATTTCCATTTATAAATCGATTCAAAACTTACGTTTAGACCAGCTTGGCTGCCGTACAAATTGGGTTTACTAGTTCGGGGTAGCATGCTGTTATAATTCTGATTCGCCTTGATGGAGAAAACAAAGGAATTTGTAACGTACATTCCATATCTAAAATTACCAACGTTACATTCAATACCAATATTACAACACACTTCAGTAAAATTATGAGAAAACTGTGGATGTACGAGATTCTGTTTACGACAGAAGGGGCAAGTATTTTTTTTTAACTAAAGTGTAATGCAGACATTTAAATGAAGTGATATGCAAACAACTAAATAAAATTTAACACTTGATTGTGTGAGAGATTCTCTACCATTAGCAAGAATCTATATCGAAATCAAATAGGTGAATTCTAACTCGATACGCGTCAAATGTCATCTGCCTGATGTGAAGTCTGATGCAGATGTCCGATCATTAAGGGAGGCGATGGTGGAGGGAGTGAATGCAACCCTAGAAGCTGTTTCCCTCTGGGGTGAAGCCAACTTGGTTGGATTCAATCCCTCTAAAACACAGGCCTGTCTCTTCTCGACGAAACGGAGTCCATTCCATCTGACTCCGACTTTCCGAAATGTCTCCGTGCCGGTTAAAGACCATCTCGAGCTCTTGGGTATGGACATCTCATCCAGCCTCAATTTCGGTCGCTACATCGAGTCCATTGCTAAAACCGCTGCCAGAAAACTTGGAATACTTTCTAAGGTCAGGCGATATTTTACATCTGAGCAGCTCCTTAACCTTTACCGAGCCCAAGTTCGCTCCTGCTTGGAGTACTGTTGTCACCTTTGGGACGGATCTGCTCGGTATCAGCTGGATGCACTGGACTCGGTGGAACACCGTGCGAAGAGACTCATAGGCAATGACGCTCTCGTTGAGGCTAATCTTCAGAGCCTTGACCACCGAAGACGTGTAGCTTGCCTTTCGGTGTTTTATCGGTTACATTTCGGAGAGTGTGCGGAGGTATTACATAATTTGATCCCCCCTTCCCCTTTCCACCACCGGACGACCAGGCGCGGCGAGGGCTTCCACCCTTATGTTGTCGAAGTTCCTCCCATTCGCACGAAGCGATTTGCTTCGGCCTTCATTATACGAACGGCTAGGGAGTGGAACTCCTTGCCGAGGTCTGTTTTCCCGGACCAATATAACCTGGACATCTTCAAGGCCAGAGTGAACAGGCATCTTCTAGGCAGGCGTGTACCATCCTAGGCCTCATCATCGCTTTCCATCAGGTGAGATTGTGGTCAAACGCATTGCCTATCTAGCATAAAAAAAAAAAAAGTTTTGTATGGAAATTTGAACAGCGCCACAATGGACGTAAAGAGAAAGTTTTTTTTTATAAATAATGTAGTCCCGAGTTAATTGTGAGACCCTCATCTGAAGGTTGAGTCAGCAGGGCGTTTTTTTTTAATGTGTATGCTCTTGGTCGCAGATGACCTTTACAGCGTCACCGGGTTTGGAGACGGCGAGCTCCTAAGGGGACCTCAAGCCGAGAATTAGCGAGTGCCTCTAGAGGTATACCAGGCGGATGGCATCTCCCCACGGGGGGAGTCTCCTCTCCGTCTGGAGCCTCTAGACCACTCGAACCTGAGGGGGTCGGCTCAACTAGAGGGCGTCTCTGAGACTGAAGTATTCTTTGAAAAAAATATTCAATGTACAGTTTTGACTTTCCTACCACTTTATTATATGTAGAAATGTATCAGTTAGTTACCTGTGAGACCCTGATCTGGGGATTGGGCATCCTCCGTACCGCAGGCCCGCGGTCGGGGGACAGCTCGGGGTCGCTGAAGGGGTCGGGGGTTTTAGACTTTCGGGACTTTGCGCGGTCGCCGCTCTCGCCGCGCTTGCTTTTGAAGAACCTATGATACCAAAACTATATATGAGGAGCTGGCGAACAAAACGGTATAAAATTTTACAGGAGCTGTATAAAACTGAATGACATACCTCCAGTGAGCTTTTGGCATGGTTTTAAATTTATAAATTTAGTAATTTTAACACTGTTTTAGGCAGTTTTGATTGAAAATTATTTCAGATTCAAATTTAACGGGCCCGAAAACTCAGAAAACTACAAAAAAAAGTAGTTTGCCCAGATGCGTAATAGGCTAGTTGACCCTTTTTGGAAAAAGGTTTTAAATGGCTAATAAATGTTCTATTAGACCGAAAAAAAAAGTATTTTTTTGAGACCTAGAAACAGTGGCGGCGCTAGGCGTCATCGACGTCGGCCACCGCCGACGGCCTCGCGCCTGAGGGGGCCTCGCAAAAAAACTTACAAGTTACCTATTTATTTTCGTTTCTCCTGGCCTGGCTTAGGTAGCCGACCCCGAACAATTCGGGGAAAAAGCTAAGCTGATGATAATGACTTTTATTATTAGCGAACACGTGCGTGATGTAAGCGAGTAGTACTTTACGGGTATTCAGAATCGTCCGTCTGGCAACACTATTTTTGTAATTAAATTTCTATGTTTGTAATTATTTTTTGTCATCATTTGATTATCAACAATAAAACTCGTTTACTCATACGTTATTTTATAATTTGGCTCACTTAATTTAACGGTTTTTACTGCGAATTAAAAAAGGCCTCGCGAACTTGATGTCGCCGACGTCCACATGTGGTCTAGCGCCGCCACTGCTTAGAAAGCTGCAAATCTTAAATTTTAAAATAGATTTCTCATGGACATACAAGAACGCTGTCGGCCATTTTAGTCTATAGATTATCTATGCTATGACGTCAATAGGGTGGAAAACAAAATCTCGTAAGCACGTAGAAAATAACCTATCTGAGTTTATAATATAAAAAAAAACATTATTTCTAATAAATACCACGAAAAATATAGTAATTATCATTATTGTATTGTACAAGAATGTAAAAACACATCCTTGAAGACTCCAGAAAAGTTGTGGATTAAAGTGCTAATTGGAAGCAGTGATGGAGAAATTGAGCTTTCTTCGTGTTAAGTGCTTACTCAATCATCTAGTAGTGCCTATTTAATGACTTCGAATAACAGTGAAATTATACAAAGTGGTCCAACTAGTGGCGTCAACAATTTTTTTTTAGATTCCTCGCACCTCCGCTTCTGTAAGTTTTCGTCTCAATTCTTGCTCACATTTTAAATCTTAGTGGTGAAACCGAAATTATTATAAAATTCAACATGCTTAAGTTATTTTACAGAAATTTCAACTAAATTTAGTTTGAAATTACATTTTTAGGTTTAATTCACCATAACAATGAAAAAAAGTAGATAAAATAATGTCTAATGCTTTAATCGTGTTTCAATGATTTTTAGCCTATCCGCCTTCAAAAGCCAATAACAACAAAAATAGGCTGATTAAGTACATTTTTTTTATGATTTTTGGTAGTTTAGAAGCATGCGGAGTTTTTAATTTTAGCCAGAAGCTATGGAAACTACTTTTTGTATTGAAGTTGAACGTTTGAGTAAATCGTACTAAAACAACATTCAAGACAATTATGTCACAAAAAAAGACTGCAAAATACCTACTACGAAATAAGATAAGAATTTTTGAAACCTCGTTGGCAGAAGTAATTAAAAATACACAAAAAAAAATATAACTCGAAAACTAAGAAATATCGCGGAACATACCTCGCACCTAGGGTTATCCGAAAAAAACCCCATGTATTTTCGGATAACCCCAGGTGCGAGGAATCTAAAAAAAAATGTTGACGTCACTAGTTGGACCACCCTGTATATGAAATCTGCGAGTTGCACTTCAAAGCATCGTTTTAAATCAGACATTAAAACTTTGAAGACTCTTATGATTGCGGATTCTTATCTGTAGATAAATATCTACGGATAGATAAAGGAAATCTGAAATTTCATTATCTACTTACTGTAAATATTTTGACAGTAGAAAATGGAAACGGGAATCTGTTGAATTTAGTAAGGCAAAAACGTATATCCATATGAAAGGGCCAGTGTAAAGAAAGTGTGAATATGTTATTTATCATATGGCAATACTCACTTGAAAGGCGATCTTCCTCTCTTTTCTTTCTTTTCATCAGGCAAGTTCTGCACACCCAACTCGTATTTCGACATCTCCGCTTCACTGGTGGAACGGTGCATACCATTCAGTTGGCCTGTGCAAAGGAAATTAGGCGTTAAACTATATAACACAAAGGCTAATATCGTGAAAACTGTAAGTGATTGAAAACGCATGTAAATGTTAGTTCTATTTGAATACAATAGAGTCGAAGTTACAATGCAAATACCTTAAAACAATTTTGGTCAATCAACATAAATGTTCATTTAAGAAGGCTTAAGAAAGTGTCGGAAAATTGTTATCTTACATCCTAAGTGTCGCCGCATACGGGCCACACGCCACAGCCACAAACGCCGCCACGAGAAGCTAGAAACGGCTACTAAAGTGGCTGAAGCGCGCGACGGCGGCCGACTAAGGTAAGGGAGAGAGGGGTGGGGAATCGCGCGAGTGACGTGTGGCGGCGTTTTGCATCGGCGTATTAAGTGGCCGGTGCGGGCCACAAGAAGCGAGCAACGACGATTTGTAGCGTGTGGCGGCCATCGGCGCACGTGTGTGGCGAGTCCATATAAAATGTATGAAAACTACAAGAAATATGCCGGTGGCGGCGTTTTGTGGTTGTGGTCGGTGGCCCGTGTGCGGCGACACTAAATATTGTTAGGAAGAGCGGAAATTTTGCAAGATTCGTTATTAATAGAAATGAATTGATATAAATTAGTGATAACTTAATATCCTTTGCAAATTTAGGTATGTAGGAAATTTAGAAAAAAAATGGGTGCGTGTACTTATGTAGGCGCGTGAGAAGTTATCCTTCTTTGGCATCGTTTAAAATTAGTTTTTAATTGCATGCAAATAATTAATTACAATAAATTAATAAAAAGTCTGGAAAAGGACACAGTCAATAAAGTACAGTTTTAATTTGAAAAAATAAATAAATAATCAAAATATTCAATTAAAATCGCTACTGAATATAATTTATTAGAACATAATATATGTGATTTGCAAATATGAATACCTATAACTGTTACTTTATTACAAAAATAAAGATGTGGTTTTTGGTTCTACTACACCAATGGTCAAGAGATGGCGCTGTAGTCTCCTGAATCGCGCTTTGGTTCCGTTGTTCCAGATTAATAAATACTTTTTGTTACTTTATTACAAAAAATAAAGATGTGGTTTTTGGTTCTACTACACCAATGGTCAAGAGATGGCGCTGTAGTCTCCTGAATCGCGCTTTGGTTCCGTTGTTCCAGATTATTAAATACTTTTGATATGCCTTCACAATGCAGTCGTTAGCACCCACTAAATAGAGATTCTATTTCTATTTTGTTGGTAGATGTTCTTAATGTGCGGTAAACACAAAAGTAACGCATGAAGTTGGTCGCTAAAGCCAACTAACTTCATTATGTTAAAATTTTGTGTTACAGTGATGCGCGCGCATCTTAAAATTTCACTCTCATAATTTTTTCATAACGCGCCTAAAGAAGTATAACTTCAAAAACTTTATTTTTTAATCTTTACTTTAAATACTGTAAACAGTGTTTCCGTTATCAGTTATTCGTTATTAGGACTACTGAAAAGAGAAAGCATGTATTATGAAAATTATCACAATGAGATACCGAAGAAGTGCCGTTCAAAATTGAACCTTATTCGTAATTTTATAATTAACTAATATTTAAAATAAGTACTGTAAGCTATTCTCTAGTTTTCAGATGTTCTTGATTATGAATAGTTAAAAGAGTAAGCATGTACAACGAAAATTAGCACAAGGGACAACGAAGATTTGCCATTACTGTAAACACAGTTAACGGAAACCGTTATCATTATCAAATGATTACAAACAGTGAAAAGAGAAAACTTGTATCAACGAAATGTAGGAATGCCCAAAGAGACACAGAAGAAGAAGCGCCATTACTGTTTCCGTTATCATTATCAGATAATTGTGATTATGCATAGTGAAAAGAGAAATGTAAAAATGCATAATGAGACAACGAAGAAGCGCCAATCAAAATTAAACCTTGTCCGTAACCCTGTAAGGTAACACCTCGTGTGACGGAACCCTTACGCGGTGGTCGCGACGGTTGCCTCTTCATCTTGCTCACGTCTTCTTGATTCTCTTCGTAGTGGAGACCTTTGGAGTGGGGGAACAGAATAAAATAAGCTGGTGGAGTTAGGTGGGGAGCAACAGAAAATAACATAAAATATGAGCTGTGTAAATATTTAAAGTACAGTAAAGTAAATGAAAACAGGGATTCAGTTATATTACATTAAATAAGTTTATTGGTTGTAATAAGGGTCATTAACAAAATTTACAATTAAGAAAATAGTGGTAATTTTTTCCTTAAATATAAGGATGATTCTTCAAGTCCAGGCGGGGCTTTTGTAAGCTTTCAAAACGACAGATTTACATATTTTATTTTTATAATCCACTTGTCATTTGGTAATTTGTAATCATATTACTGAGTCTTAAAAATATATAAACACAAATCACAGTGAGAAATCAAATTAGTAATAGTTGATAAATACGACAAGCAAGATTGAGCAGGATAAGTATATCTATACATATAATAAAATGGTAGGAAAGACAAAACTGTACATTAAATATTTTTTTAAAAGAATATTTGGGGTGTGATCTTCAAACGATACCCAAGCCAATAATATAGTTTTTAGATTTTTTGTCTGTTTGTGTCTGTCTGTTTGTGTCCACGATACACTCAAAAAGTACTGCATGGATTTACTTCAAATTTGGCACGAATATTATTAAGAAGTTTGGTCAACATATAGGCTACATATTATCACGCTATCACCTACGGGGAACGAGCAGTGAACCTTTATTTCTAACTAACTCCACGCGTACGAAGGCGCGGGCAGCCGCTAGTTGTATTTATATGAACTGGAGATAATAATAACCTCCAACTATACAAAAAGCTTAATAAATATCAAACATTAGGTTGAAAATGCAATCATAAGTAGAGAAAGTTTCGAAAATATGAGGTTGCAAATGCAATTAAAAATAGAGAAATTCTTTAAAATATAACACTAGGAATGGAATGGAAATGCAATCAAAACCAGAAGAAGTCTCTAAAACAGGCTACATAAGGTTTGAAATGCAATCAAAAGTTTATAGTCTTATATTTTTATTTATTAAGCATTTAACTGCTAGAAAAAAAGTTACGTCCTAATCCCTATTCAATACATCATTTTTGTTAGAGAAACATGAAGAGGGATGTAACATTTATTAACATTTCTTTGACATCAAGCAAGTCGTCTAAAATATCTTACCTTTGATATCATTCATAGTGAATCCACTCCTCATGATCTGATCTATATGTGCTGGCATCTGGGCTTCCGTTGCCTCTTTCATAAGCATCTGCTGTCTCTCTTTGATCTCCACCCATCTTCTAGCTTTTACTTGTTCACTGGACGGAAAAAGAAAAAAGAAACATAAGCTTGACTCGATGTCTATGTCATTTTGAAAGCGTCAAATAATGACGTTTTTTAAGAAAAACATATTTGGTTCAATTTGTTATTTTGTTATTTCTAGCCGCCGAAGGTTTTCAAATGCCTCACGCTCTTTTTTTTCTTTTGCATTGGTAATAAAAATATTAAAAAAATGAGCGTGAGGTATTTGAAAACCTTCGGCGGTCAGAAATAACAAAATAAAATCGAAAGCGTTTGCGTTTTCCAATGCATTTCCGTTAGGCGGATGGACCCCAGTTCGAGGATTATTAAAAATAACTGTTGTTATAAAATGTTAAAACTTCATGCAAATATTTTAAGAAAATTAGAGATGACTCCTTAAATGATGTACTTCAACGCCCTTCTAGCTTTATTTGTATTTTTGTAACAGCCTGTATACATATGCGTGGAAATTTATTATTAGCATGTGACTGCTCATAGTTTTAATATACTTTGTTATTAGACTGTAAATTTCCCAAATAAAATAAAATAATGTTCAGATTCTCGCCTAGTTTCTATAATAAGTAATTATAGTAGTAAGCTTACGTGCTTTAACGTAGAGCAAATTAAACACACATATGGAAAATTAATAAAATCAAAAGTTAAATTTAGACAATCGATGGATTAGCCCTCTAAAACTATTAAGTGTTCGGATACATCAGGTTTTTCGGCTGGAACTGTCTTATGACGATGTACTTACCCTTAAGGTCTCCTTATTATTTTTATGTGGGTATTAAGCGATGCCAAAATATTCGTCTAGAATTAGTACCTACTTACCTAATGAATTCAGCATGACATATCACAGGTAGAGACAAACGGAGGAATTCCCAGTTGGCCTTCTCCATAGTCTCGAATGTGTTGTGTGATATTTTCATACACGGCGGGGTCTCTGAAAGTGAAAGGAGTGGTATGTATAGATCTATATATTCTGCAAATGCTGCAATATCTGGCTCATCTATTAATCAAACTTTGGTAAACCGAAATTCATCCAAAATATAGATAAGAAATTAATGAGTGATATGCGTGAAAATCTAAAAAATAAATATATACATTAGAAGTTATTGTGTAGAAAATTATAGATAAATAGCAAATCACTAATAATAATTGAAAATTAAAGGCACCTATAAAGTGTGCCGTGCAAGTAGTAAAAAACAAAAAAGTACACAAAATGGCTACAGCTCAGTGACGCTTTTACTCAGAGAGCAAAGCACTGATTTTCAGCTGGAGTCAAATATACATAAAACTTGTTCTGGCGCTACTTGTAACACAAGAATATAAATATTAACACTCGTTTTAGTCATCACCATAATAAAATTTGGTTTGCTAACAGGGAATTTTCAAACGAAGGAAATTAATTATACTATAGCCCCTCTTAGAGTCTGTGCAGAAAGAGAATGGGATTTAGATTGGAGGGCGCTTTAGTGCTTTTCTACCGTATTTGTGAGGTTTTACCCATTTTAGACATGATTAAATACAAAAAACCGCAAGAAATCACAACAACAAACAAATCCGTATCAATACAAAACTTTGACGTTTTACAGATTGCTGGGTTTGATTACCAAATAAAAATCTTAATGTTAGTTCCGTTTTTCGCCATGCCCATTCTCTTTCCGCACAGAAAGTCTAACAGTCTTTTTTAGATAAAACCCTTTTACCTGAGCCTGCTGGTATCCTGGTGACATCTATTCTAGTGTCCAGCATCTCGTCAGTGTTTTCGAAGATGGGCTGATCTTTTGTATACCAGTGGGTTACATCCCTCTTCATGTTCCTGAAGCAAGAAATAATGTATTGAATTATCGTGTACCCTGTTAATTTATTTTAATGACCTCCGTGATAGAATAATATAATGTACACCTCAATATTCAAATTCATAAACATTGATGTTTTAATAATGTGTATGGGATAAAAGAACTCCTCCATTGATTTTTATGGTACGAGTATATTGATCGATATCCTATCACTATTACATTTACAAGAAAAAACGAGTACTTATTGAAGTTCTATTTCATACGTAATAAGTCCAACTTACACGCAGAAAGGTTCGTAACCTTCTTGGAGACCACACGTCGTGAAATATTTAAGAGTGTTCACATCTTGTCCATATGTCAGCCTGAAAAGAAAAAAATATAGTTAATTAGATTACGTACAAATTAACGTCGAAACATAGAACATCTTTTAAGCACGATAAGTTTGCTCTTACCTAGCTTTTTGGCCCACACCAAGGGTACAGGCGGGTACAAAATTGTCTCCTTGCACATCGGCGAATGTTGTTTCACCACCCAAAGCGTCCATCAATAGTTCACCGTTTAGAGAGAAACCTGATTATAGGCAAGATTGGTTAATCCATAAATCAGCAGCCGTCACCAAAGGGCATTTTACCTATTTTGCGCTTTAGATAAGAAAGGCATTTAATATTGTCAACTTTAATGCTATGCTATAATATTTTACTTTGGAATTATCACGAATTATGCCTGCTTATACTACTATCAAATGCATAGTATCATCATCATAATATATCTTTAAGTGTCAAAATTATGATATAACATGGATTTGCTGGTGCCAAAGTATGCAGTATATGACAAATCAATTTGACAGGTAAAATGCCCTTGGGTTATGAGTCTGTCTGTAACTTGAGTCTATAGTTTGAGTCTTTTGAGTTGCTTTTTGATCAAGCGATATTTACACTTGTCATTTAAATTGCAAGCCAAAACTATTATTTAAGTCAAAATAAAATATCTAAAAGGCCAATTTAACTAGTAGCTTACAATTGCCAATAATGTTTATGGAACATATAACATGAAAACAGCATATCATCTAGATAGTTAAAACAAATAATTATTTTGTTCAAATGGGTTGGATTTATAAGTACATTAGAGATGGACTTTCTTTCATAAGCCATTAGAAACTATTAAACTCGATATAAGTAACTCAAAGTACTTGGTGCATACGTTATAGAAATAAATTATGATATGACTAGTTATTGTAAGAAAGCATTAGTCAAAACAACAGCATCCGTCAAACAGTGGGATATAAAAAATGGTGATAACGTTAGTCACAACACTGTTAGTGGTATTTGGAATATTAATATGGACTTTTATTTATCGTTTTAGTGTCATGAAATTAATGTTTATCCCAAAAAGAAGTCAAAACGAAATGAAACTTTGTTCTAAGTACAGAATAAAGCATCAAAGTTTTCACATGATACCTAATTTGGATTGAAATGACTTTACGATGATGAAGGACGAGAAAATATATGTTTCTATTTGATGCAATAAAGTTTTGATATACTGGAATGAAAGAGGTTTTTTATAAAAAAAAAACGAGCAAATTCTACTAAACCCACTTTAATAATAACTACTAGTGGAGTCTTTGAAGTCCAACTATTTCGAACTAAATTAACACCTATTTCCTATTTCATAAATATGTTAGCCGTTTTTATACAAAGACAAATGGTGGCTGAAAATCAAGCGAAGCAATGTGACTGTATTAGATTCAAGCGTATAAATGTTCTTAACTTCAATGAATGCTTAATGCGCGTTTTTAAATAACCTACAGAAAGCTTTACGTAGCATTTGGCAGGAACATTTCTTATATACATTTATTTATTTATTTTGTTTCTTTAAAGCGCATTGCTTAATTTCTCATTTATGTTATCAACAAAAAGTTAGGTTAATGATGATGTATATTATTATGATGTATTAAGAAATATTTAAGGTTATCTTTCTTAATATGTATGAGGTATTATATGAATGTTCCGGCCAATTAAAATATTTTTACGTCAGCATAAGCTTGTTTAACAGGAAGTTTGAAGTTATACTTTATTATTCTTATGTATTACTATTGTAGAGTGTGTCTATTATATTACCCACACTAAGTATCAGTATTTCTTTGTCTATCATATAATGGACACGATGATACACAAAGAACCTTGCCAGCAATTTCAATCTCTCTCAAGAGTAAATATTGTAAAAGAACAACTAAAAACGTTTGTAATATATCAAAATGTCAATGTCTTCAATAAACTTAAACATTGAATGAAGACTGTTTTGAATATCAGTGCAGAAATTTCGTTATACCTCCTCACAAAATCATTTATAGACTAAACTAAACCCAGTGCGTACGATTTGATGTCATATTAACGCTAACATATTTGGTATAATATAAATCTAACTTTTCCGATATTACTTTGCGCCATAAAGTTAGCATGTTATTAGATTGTTATTATCGTGATAATCTTACAAGATAATTTAAACATAAAACCAACAGCTTCAGAACATTTTGTCCTTAATCATCCATAAAAAGTTAGAAAGCAGTAGGTATCGAAATTTTATAGCTGTCAACATTTAGTTTTAAATTTAAATTGTCAAGTCCGATTGCTAGGAAGTGCTTTTAAACTGCTAATAAAGTACAACTAGAAACTTCTCGGTGCGATGATGACGTGACGAGATATTTACTTATCGTCTTATCTATCAAGTCTAGGAAGACCCCGACTACGTCGCCGACCGCCCACTGCTTCCCGAATGATTCTGTGCTACCGCTGTACACTTTTTCCTCCTTGAAAGTTGTATAAAAACGGCGATATATTATTTTTTACTCTGACAACACCAGGAACATAGACAAAAGTCTATGCTCCACCTTGTTTCCATACGTAAAGAGGTAATTTAGCTGACATTCAACGAAAATTTTAAAAATAGAAAAGGAATATTCTCTTGGAATAATATTTTAAGATTGTATGTTACATCTTCTAAAAACTAGTGAAGATGTAAGCAAAGGTAAATCGAAGGATATAATTATTCAATATCAATTATTTAGATAGCACTCAAATCGGTACTATTATTTAACACCAAAAACAAACATATTGGACTGGGGAGAAACACAGTACAGTACACAAATAAGGATGGAATGGAACACGTAAAAATACACAGTGTATTCCTTGTTACTACAAGTTAACGACAGTACATTTACTTATAAACGTGCGCTTACAACTTCCTTGATACTTGAAATCATTACAGAAGAAACCAAATTAAGAAATACTAAATATTTTTATCGGAAGGAAGGTAAAGTGCCACATTAATAACGTTAAAAAAAATTAAAATAAAATAAGATATTTTTTTATTTTAATTACTTAGGTTGTTAATTTTTATTTTAGAGTTTTATACTAGTATAAACTATTATAATAATGTGTGTATAAATAGAAAACAAAAATGTTGAAAAAAATAATTTTAATGTAAAACTAATTTATTGTCTGATTTTTTTCTAAATGTGCAGTTAAATGAGTATCTATCACTGTCCAAAGTAGTTATTACAGCCAATAATACAACACTGTAAAATACATCTACCAAAACACAAAACAAGAGAATCTCGATATCAATCTAGGTGCACTTTCACTCTTCATGCCATTCACCAGTGTGAGTAAATGACTGGTGATATAGAAGAATTTTGTGGTCTGGCACTTTAAGGTAAAAATAGCTTGACTTTACCCAGACACTGGGAAGAAACTTATGTAACATCAGAGATGTAGCGGAAGCGAATAAAACCTATAACTGACAGAGCTGTCATTTCATTGATTATGTTATTTAAGAATGGTTTGATTGCCATTCACCAGTGAGAAACTGGTAATATCTGACACTGAGACTAAAAAGCGAAAATCGCTTGAGCTTTTTCACGATTCTAGAAAGAATCACTATCAAAATTCGATACAGAGTGCAAGCGATTATAACCCAAAAGTGACAGAGCTTCTCTTTGTTATTTATGAGTCCAAGTATCAAAGTAGTCGTTTATCGCGACTCACTGATTGTCATATCGCAAACGTCCAAGAAGCAGCCGACAATGTCTCCCACTTTAAACAGCTGCCCGAAAAGGTCGCTCGAGCCGCCGTGCACTTTAACGCACTGCGCATAGAGACTCTTTTTGTTTAAACACTTTTTCGTTGAGACGCTTTTCTTATTGCGAATCCATTTTTCATACTTTTTTTCTAATCTACTTCTTATTTTTCTGAATGGCAATTAAACTTTGGTAAGATCATTGGAGATGAATCTGTGCCAATTTTGCTACAGTTGAAAATATGGCTAAAAGTAACTGAAAAGTTATACAACTGATGGATGAAGACACAAGAACTTATGTGTAGTGGTATAATTAATGGTGACGAAAGGAGCTATGTAGTAGCATAGTGGTAAGTGCATTCGTCCAGATTGAGAGAGAGGCTGATTTGAGTCCAGCCACTGACACTTTAGCCAAGTTTAATTTTTTCTAGATATTTTTTTAGGGAGGAAGATTTTAATGCATCGTATGCCAAAATTTAAAGCACGCTATTGTTATAATTTTTATTTTTTAAGGGTGTAACTGCTCGATGTTTAAATCTAAAGAAAATATTACTAGAAAAAAATCCACGCGGACCAGGCAGCAGTCGGGAGTCGAACCCGCACCATGAGATGGCGCTGCCTTGCAGCTTAAGAAAGGCTAGAAAAAATTTAACACAGCCATTAGGGCCGCGGTAGCATAATGGTTAGTGCATTCGCCCGGATAGCGAAGGGCGCGTGTCCCGTCTGCTACCTGGTTCGCGTGGTTTTTTTCTAGTAATATATTCTTCACACTATTTTGGATACAACAACAACTTAAATAAAAAAAATGATATAGGTGTGACCAAAAAAGTGTGTAGATACTTACGCATCTTGGAAAAACCATAATGTTGAAAACAGATATTGCCATTTGAGAAAAATAAGAAGAAGATTAAAAGTACCCAAATGAAACTGAAATATACAACACATTTTACTACTGCACAAAAATATTACCTACGCTGAGTCAAAAGTACGCGACGTGACAGACAAAATAACGAAATCATTGTTTCTTCTAAAAATATCTAAATTTTCCTAATTCAAATAAAAATTAAATATTGGAAGATAAATATAAGTAGTAATACTCACATTGTATCCATCGAAAGCCCACGAGTTTTCATCTTGTCCTAACATCATTCCAGGGGCCATGTCTGCGTGAGCCCAACCAACCTATAGTTTGAAATAAAATATTTAAATTAGTAAAAATAAATGAGATCTACGAACAACATGTTGAAATTTATTTATTTATTTACAATACTGCTCCTTAGCTAATACATTTTAGAATTAAAAAAAAATGTGTGTGTCAGCTCCGACGCACGACTGGAGTTTACTTCTTAAGTTCGATAGTCTAACCAGACGCAAAAAGAGTTTATGTAACTTAAAAAAGATTGATACTGTATGAAAGGGTAAATTAACAAATTAATGAAAATAAAAATCTCAATGGTTTTGTGTTCACCGAATGGCGCGGTGGTACACCGACGCGGTTTCTTCGTCGTCGTAGGCAAAAAGGTACGCTACGATACTGTGCAACGGTGTAGCACTACGGCTGCTACAGCGTAGACAGTAAAACGTAACGAGGTCATTCATCGATAGATTTTACTCCTCAAATTTTTCTCATACTGGGCCCCTTATATATGCAAATCGATTCTTAAGGAGTAAACTCCAAAAATCAGTAAAATAATTTTATAAAAACACATACAAACAGAAAAAAATATGGGATGGTTGATTAGTTTAGAGCGACGAGAATAAATTATTAAGATATTTTTCAAAACATTAAAGAGTCATCATCACCAGCCTAATAATGTCCCCACTGCTGGGGCACAGGCCTTCCCTATGGATGGAATAGGGAGATAGGGCCATGACCCACCACGCGTGCTCAACGCGGATTGGCGGGTGCTAACGACTGCAGATGCAGCCCGTATCAACGGCTTAACGTGCCTTCCGAAGCACGGAGGAATTCGAGATAGAAGATTTTTTTGGTCACCCATCCAATCACCGACAACTGCGAAAGTTGCTTAAATTCAACTATCGCTAACCACTTGCGCGATGGAGCTCCTCCATTAAAGAGTAATTTCTCAAAATATTTATAATAACAAACTTTAAACTGGTATAGTTGTACCCCTAAAGATAAATTTACTAGAAAATATGCTCTCGGGACTCGATCCAGGTGTCATTTATCAAAGTTGGATGGAAATTCGGACATTTTAATCGTAACCTTTTTTTGGTGCCTTTAGCGACTGCTTTTTTTGTAAATATAAAAAGTATATGTAAGTTACAAATGTCTTGAATTTAATTGAAAACTTTACCCCTAGCACGAGCCATTAACGAATTCGTCTAGATATATTATATACGTCAAATGTGTGCGAATTTTTAGTTCTTGCAACGTCCGTTGTGGCGCTGCTGTTCAAGTTTGCATACAAAATTTGACAATAAAATTTCGCACTCGCAAACGTAACGAAATCCATACTGGTTTGTGCTAAGGGTACTGCATAGCTCAAATTATAGTTAAACATTAACTCACCCTCATCGGCCCAGTGGTGAGTATTTCGAACTCAAAGTACCATTTGCCCGAGCTGACGGCGTAGTTCTTCTCCGCTCTGTACGTTCTGAAGTCTGCTTGCTTCTGTTTCGACGCCTCCAACAGTAAAGCTACAAGATTCGATGTAACATTATAAAAAACAACATCACTATCATCATTAGCCTATTAACGTTTTAAAATTAACTGCTAAGGCCAAGGGAGCTTTTTTAGGGTTCCGTACCTAAAAAGGAAAAAACGGAACCCTTATAGGATCACTTTGTTGTCCGTCTGTCCGTCCGTCCGTCTGTCAAGACCGTTTTTCTCAGGAACACGTAGAGGTATCAAACTGAAATTCATATATAATACTCAGGAGTACTGTCCCTTGGAGCTGCGAAAAAATCAAACTTCTAAGCCAAAGCAATCAAAAGATACAGCCGTTTATGTCGCAAATTTTCGAAACTCGCACGGGAATCAAAACCTACAGGGTACTTCCCGTGAACTTAGAATCTTGAAATTTGGTACGAAGTAACGTCTTATAGTACAGATAAAGGAAAAATTGCGAAAACCGTAAATTCTTAGTTACATCCTATAATATTTTTTTTTAATAATTATTAAAATATACCTAGCGGTTTGTACGGAACCCTCGGTGCGCGAGTCCGACTCGCACTTGGCCGGTTTTTTTATAGTTAGGTCCGACAAATGACTCCACCCCACCTGATGTTAAGTGAAGGTGAAGTCCTTGCGCGAAGATAGCTGATACAGCAGTTCTACCTGCCACACCAGCCATCCTCATCCTGCCGGCCTGCATGTTGCATCTTCACGCCTCTTTTAAAGGATCCCAGGTTGTAAGAGGGAGGGAACACGTGAGCGGGCAGAGCATTCCATTTACGGATAGTGCGACAAAGAAATGAGTCACTAAATTTCTTTGTACGCGTTGGAATTGTGGCCACAGTTAGACGGTGACTACGTAGGCCAGCGCGCGCGTGGTCCTCTGAAGGAAAGGGGAAGGTGGGATAAGAGAGAATAACTCCTCTGAACACTCGTCGTGGAACAGACGATAGAACGCGCTAATTGCCTAACGCGATTGCTATGGTTATCGCTATCGGTTACAATCATATTTTGTTATTTCTGACCGCCTAAGGTTTTCAAATGCCTCGCACTATTTTTTTTTTGCATTGGTAATAATTATATTAAAGAGAATGAGCATGAGGTATTTGAAAACCTTAGGCGGTTAGAAATAACCAAATATAATCGTAACCGACAGCGATAGCCATGCCAATCCCGTTGGGCGATTTGCCCCAGGCCTTCTATAAGTATGGAATTGGGAGATTGAGATGGAATTGGGAGATTGGGATGGAATTGGGAGATTGGACCGTGACCCACTACGCGCATACTAATAGTGGGTGCAAACGAATGAAAATGCAGTCAAGGGCCCGGTACGGGACTAGCGGCTAACTTGCCTTCCGAAGACCAGAGGACAAAGTGATAGTAAAAATCATCCAGCCGATGACTGGCAATCACGAAAGATGCTCAACTTACACGATCGCAGACTGAACGCGCTTACCACTTGTGCCATCGAGCTCCTCATTGAAGAATATCAAGAAAGATTTCCTCCCCTTTCCCTTGATTAACCTTTTTTAACGTTTTTAAGCGAATTATCGGGCAAGTGCGGCGGGAATCAGATGATTCGATCATACATTAAAAAATAAAAAAAAAATGGTTGCCTGTAAAGTCGGTTTTACGGGCGAAGATTTTACGTGACAACGTCTTTTTCTCGGTAGAATATTTATTGATATGAATATAATTAAATTGCACAATAGGAACAAGGAATTGAATGAAAATAAGAATTGCACAAATTTTAACTATAGAAATATATTTTGTTTACTAAAACATTGTACATGTAAACTTAAACTCATCGTAACGTTACCGAGCGTTACACTTTTTCATAAGTGACTCCCAGCCGCAACCTAATTTAAGACGTTGTCACGTCAAAAATTAATTTAACAAGCTTTTATTGCTCGTTAACACAAAAAAATAATTTAAATATTAACACGTTATTATAATAAGTACTAATTACCTTCATGCTGTTCTCCAGTTGGCGGATCCAAATTATACCCGTAAACCAGTAAAGTCCTGACGGTCTCCGATGCCGTGTCCCGGTTCGCTTTCTTGATGGCATCGTCCACTTTTGGGTACGGCACCAAATGCGGTGACCGGTGCATTTCTGGGTCCTGTGACATAAACAAGGATTTATTGAAGACTAGCTGTGCCCCGCGGTGTTACCGGCGGTTTATTAGGGATATTTTCCCGTAGTAAACGTAGCCTATGTGTTCTGTGTATCCAGGGTGTCAGCTAAATCCATACCAAATTTTATAAAAATCGCTCAAGCCGTTTAGACGTGAAGAAGTAACAAACATACTCACACACTCACAAACTTTCGCCTTTATAATATTAGTGTGATAAATAGAACCTACATACTGAGCTGTGAGATAAGGGAAACATGGAGTGCATCAGGTGGTAACTCTTAGAGCTGGCTGAGGTACTGAAAATCGATCAAGATTAGGGATAGTGTCTGTAACGTTTGTTTGGATGACTTTTCCACGTAAATAAATCTCTCGGGAATCAGTATGTTTCCGCGAATAGATAAAAATAAAATAAAAATTGTCTTCAACTAGATTCAACTTATTAGCAAATCATGATTTTTACAATGCTCTTTCAAGAAAGAGATGTTTTTACCTATATTTTTAAAGTTACAGTTTAAAATGTCTAGATACGGAAACGAGTATAAACTAATATAAAAAAAATGGGTTCCTTTCACAATAATATGAATAAAACAGCAACAAAAATGCAATTATAAAATAAGAATGGATTATGAAACAATAGGTTTTTGAATTCACATCCATATATTTGCCTATCTAGCTATAAAAAAAACTTACAAACCACTCTTTTCTTTCACTAATAAATAATACACACGATAAAATAATAAAACATAATAAAAGCTGGGTAGAACTCTTCATACAGAGGTATAGTCTAACACAATTCGCTGTGACCCTCACACCTAGTAGATTGAACACATACCGAGATGTGAGAGTCACAACCATCGTACTAGACAATCTTCTAAGATGTACTGGAAACTATACACAGAAGTACATAAAGAATAATACACACACAATAAAATAACAACTTAAGAAAACTATAATTTTATTTTTACATCAACTTGTTGGGAATTAAAATGATAACTTCAAAGAGATACTAAAAATCATACCTACTATTTGTTTCTTAGGTTTTCATGCACATCACTCATTAAATTAAACAATTTCTACGGGTTATATGCACAAGATTTATTTATTTATTGACGTTTCGCATCCTTTGCAGGAATTCGTCGTCAGAATAATCCTACCTACTATATATAAAGAATGATAAAAATCCTAGTGTCCTTAAAAAATACAAATAATTTAATAAATATATAAATACACCTTACAAAAATTATTTCAAGTTTATACAAAACAAGTCAGATTTGTTTAAAATATACAAATATAAATCAAATGAAATATTGAATAAAACATATAATAAACTATAATGCTGATCTTGATAATGAGATGAGAAGTATATACAAACGCGACACGCTGTGACCCTCACACCGAGTGGGTAGTGGTCATCACATTAAGTGTGAGAGTCACAGCTGCCGAGTTCGATTGCCGGTCAGATGACGTGTAGACACCTTTACACATAATAAGACTAGTGGGAGCCCGCGACTGCGCCTGCGTGAAAAATTTGGTTTCTCCTTTGTAAAAATCCTCTATACACCATATTAACTGCACGGAAGCGGATCCAATAAATATCTACTACATGTAAATAAATAATAAATACATATTTCCAACACTCGCACCAAGTATCCTAGCCCCAAAGTAAGCTCTGTATGCTTGTGTTATAGGATACCGGATAGAATACATATACTGATTCATATATAAATACATATTAAACATCCATGACTGGAGTACAAATGCTCGTATTTATCACACAAACATCTGCCCCCACCGGGATTCGAACCCGGGACCTCTCAAGTAGGCCACACCTTGAAACCCGGCGTACAAACCACACGGCCACGGAGGCCGGCAACATATGGTGGACATATACGTCGCTACACACACACATATAAGCTGCTTTTAATACAATCTGACATTAGAGTCACGCACACCTTGCGCGAAACATGAGCCGTTTTTATTGCGTGTTTATTTAGATTGCAAGATCTTCCAATCCCCTTTTCACCCCCTTAAAGGATGACTTTTGGTTTAAAAACTATCCTAAGCCCTTTCCCACGACTCCAGAAACTAGAACTATCGCTATACCAAATTTAATTAGCGGTTTATTGTGAAAAAGTAACAGACAGACATATTTTCGCACTTATAGTATTAAGTATGGACGAACTACTGTTGATCGTTGATATGAGATGAGAAGTATATACAAACGCGACACGCTGTGACCCTCACACCGAGTGGGTAGTGGTCATCACATTAAGTGTGAGAGTCACAGCTGCCGAGTTCGATTCCCGGTTAGATGACGCGTAGACAGCTGTAGATATTAAAAGATATGAATTGATAAATGTATACCGGAAGAGGAATATATAAATAAAACGTAGACTTAATAATAACGTTTTCATAATGAGCAAGGGAAATGATTTTTTTAGTTCTGACCTTGTTGATTGAAAAGTCATACTTTATATCATACATAACTTTTATATTTTATACTTTCAACAGCTATTTTGTTGAAGGGATAAAGTTGTATGTACAAAAATGTTTTATTAATAATTAATTTTGATTTATCTTTGTTTTAAATTTATGTCATTTAGGGATTTTTTTTATTACAAATATCAAATGATCAGATGTTAAGATTTTCCCTAAAAATTATTGTTTGACAAAAAGAATACTCTATAGATCCTCTTCCAGTATAAAAATAATACACAATCAAATAAATAGAGCACAGAATAATACACAAATGGTTATAACTGATGTAGTGATCAAACACAATTCGCTGTGACCCTCACACCTAGTATCATGTCACATATTAAGTATGAGAGTCACAGCAGTCGGATTTGATACTTGTGAAGCGAGGATCTGTTCTAAATCTCGAATAATAAAAATAAAACATAATAATACAACAATAAAACATAATAAAAGGAAATGCTAACATAAATAAAAAAGTACAAATGCTAATTAATACATACATAAATGTAGACTACATATTTAATAAAACACTATTTAAACATATTATTAGACTTACATACATAGGTAACATAAAAGAAAAGTATACATCGTATTTTATCTATCAAAATCAAAGTAATCTGTTACGATTGTAGTCGTGTACGAAATTTAAGCCTTGGAAAGAAGGTTACCAAATTGATTAATAAGCAAATTACAGTGGCTATAAGATGGGGTACCAAAAAAAATCTTTAGCTCCCCCATTCGTCGGCTGCATCTGCAGTCGTTAGCACCCGCTAATTCGCACTGGGCCCGCGTGGTGGGTCATGGCCCAATCTCCCTATTCCATTCATAGGGAAGGCCTGTGCTCCAGCAGTGGGAATATTAATAGGCTGATGATGATGAATCGGAAAACAAATAGAGTAACATACAGTACTGGTAGTGACCTCATTGAGTCCATAAGTCCACCCCTACTGGATGCATCCCCTAGCCCAAAGATTGTGAGTGAGAACTAATAGTTACCACGTTTTATCCATCTCCAGTTCATTGGAAACATTTTTTTTAATATAGCAAGGTAGGCAAATGGCTTTACCCCACCTCATGGTCAGTGGTGATAAAGTCCAAACGCGAAGATAGCTGGTACAGCAGTTACAAACTGCCACACCAATCATCCTCACCTTGCCGGTCTGCAAAATGCTCCTTCCTCTTAAAGGACCCCAGATTTTCAGATTGATTGATTGAGAGAACACGTGCGCCAGCAAAGAATTCCACTTACGAATTGTACGACAAAGAAATGTATCACCTCTTTGTTTGTGTAGGAACAGTGGCCACCGTAAGTCTGTGATAACGTAGGCCGCGCGTAGTCCTCTGAAGAAAAGGTGATGGAGAGATAAGGGAGAAAAACTCCTTAGAACACTTGCCATGGCATAGTTGGTAGAATGCGCATAAGAGCCCTTTCAATTTTTTTGCAAAAAACGTATTTTTTGAGCGCCTCGTTTACCCCCTTAGAAAAGATTTTAACTATTTCCAATAAAAGTAAACAGTAGATTTATTCTTCCTATTGCAAGTAAATGTAGAATATTTACAAGTACTATTTTCCTTTTTTTGTACTGATCGTTCTACTGCAGCTAGTTTAGGGAAAAAACAATAATATGCACAACTTTAAAGGCCTCAATCTCTCAATAATTTTCAATATATTAGATTAAATTAATTACTATGACATCAGATATATGTTTTTGTTGTAACATAATGTATTAGAATCTTGATTTTCCATCTCATTAATTATTAAAAAAACATCTAACCTCCGTGAGTTTTCCCAAAAAATAATGCAGTTTTACCTCGTATTTTGATATTGAATTAAATAGAATTACTATCAAAAACTTTCATAAAACTAATCTGCAATCATTGAACTACTGAAATATGTATATATTTTTATAATAAGTACAATAATTATTATTTTATAAGACTCGAAACATCACCCGTAAAATGCAATATATACTAGTGTAAATCAATTTTGTTCAGATCAGCGATCCAAATCAGCAATTTTGTAAAAGGGACCTTAATGATGCCACATCATGGCGTAATTTTAGAAACTGGTGTTAGTTACCTCTTCATCGCCAATGATGCGGGCAGCGCGTTTACTTATAGGCTGATGATTATGACGAGTAATAATGATAAAGGAATAGGATAACTTACTAACGGATACCCGGTTGTGTCCCTAACGATTTATTCTCTAGCCTAAATGTTGTGGAAAGGTCTGTCTGTGCCCCAGCAACTTTGAGCTGATGATGATGTTGAGTAAAAATGATATAGGAATCTCTTATCTATTAGACAAGTCCGTCCGTCTGTGGTGCTGTTTCAGCGGCCAAACCGTAAGAGATAGATAAAGAGAATATTTAAGTTATAAGTTAAGAATAGTCTGATAAGACTACAAACCGGATTTGAGTAACGTAGCACTTCTGGTTTTCGAGAAATCAGGTTTTGGTGAACATTTGGTTCACTGGTTTGCTAGTAGGGTATAATGGAACTAGTAGTTACCTCATTGAGTCCATAAGTCCACCCTTGCTGGATGCGTTCCCTGGCCCAAAGATTGTGAGTGTTCTCGGCCAACTGGTCGACAAGCTCATCCATCTTCGGTGTTAGGGTGACAGCACTCAGGTCTAGAGGTGCTGGCTTGTACCCGTTCGACTGGTAGGAAATAAATCAAATTATATAAATAAAATTAGTATTTCCAACACTCACACCAATTAGACTAGCCCCATAGTCAGCACTGTAGGCTTGTGTTATGGGATGCTAGGGTAACGGACAAAATACATAAGTATATTTTATCTAGAAATATATATTAAACATCCATGTTAATAAACATCTAAAGTACAAATGCTCGTATTCATTATACTAATATTTGCCCCCACCGGGATTCGAGCCCGGGACTTCACGAGTAGGCAACATACACAGTGAAAACCACACAGCCACAGGCCTTTGAAATTTAAATTCAATGTTGTTTCATGGATTATCGATTGAAGAGCTCGATCCCGCAAGTGGTTAGCGCGTTCGGCGGCGATCTTTGTAGTAAAGCAACTTTCGCAGTGGTCGTTTATTGGATGGGTGAAACTTTTTTTGAAGTTATACTTCTTTAGGCGCGTTATGAAAAAATGATGAGAGTGAAATTTTAAGATGCGCGCGCATCACTGTAACACAAAATTTTAACAGCATGAAGTTGGTCGCTTTAGCGACCAACATCATGCGTTACTTTTGTGTCTACCGCACATTAAGAAAATCTACCAACAAAATAGAAATAGAATCTCTATTTAGTGGGTGCTAACGACTGCATTGTGAAGGCCTATCAAAAGTATTTATTAATCTGGAACAACGGAACCAAAGCGCGATTCAGGAGACTAGAGCGCCATCTCTAGACCATTGGTGTAGTAGAACCAAAAACCACATCTTTATTTCGACACCTTCTACGTATAATATCGTAAGTGTATTTGATCAACTTTACAGTACAGCAATTTTAAGATTCGCATGCACATTATTGGTTCCCACGAAGACAGGTATTCTTGTACGAGAATCAAAATTGGCATACGCCTATATATTTATAATTGGAATGTAACCTTTGATAAGATTACTTGAATATTTTGGTGGATTTCTTTAAAAGTCACATACGGTTTTTTACATTGGAAAAGTTTAGTAGTAGGTATTTTATTGTATATATGTACTTCCCATACTTTACACTGAACTGTGTTAATGGTTAAATATCGTATGATATAATTACAATTACTTACATCGATATCTCAATAGTGAATTTCAAAATCTGTGAACTTACGATAGAATGTAAGCAAAATATTAAATGAAATTTTAAATAAAATAACTTTAATTAAACTGAAAAGTATTTTATTTTGCAATCACAGCCTTCAAAATCAACATTGGTAAAAAATTTCGATTCTCGAATAAAAGTTATCAGTCAGTTCAATTCACATCTAAAGAAAAATTATAATTATGTCAATAACAAAACAAGATTGATACGAATGACAAGTTATATTTTTTATTTCAGCATTGACCAATCAAATGTTTGTTTATCCCAACAAGCAAATTCTTTTAAAAAACCCTAATAAAATTTCAAAAAATTAAACAAATCTATTCCAAAGAAAAAATCAACAATATTTTACTTTCTATTTGTTTACCATAAGAACTTTCAGACTAATTTTTCAGTCTATAAAAATTACAAATCACATAGTTACCTAAAAAGTTACTTTAAGATTTTACTATAAAAAAAAAATCCGAATCTGAGTCAATATTAAAATTATTGTCGCTCTCTGGTAAACTTTGGAAAAAAACATGGTGAGTACTGGGAAGATTTGAGACTTGCACATATTCACTAAGTCATTTTTTTGCCTTGGGAATAGGCAGACAGGTTTCATAAAGTGCTTATTAGAAACATATTGTGTCCTGGATGCCTTCAACATAAAACATGACAATCATCCGCAGATAAATCATATTTATAAAATAACTTACAGGGTTCTTCCGGTTTTATAAGGATTTCTCTAATTTTATTCCATTGCACTTTATCCCCATTAGTGCTTTTCACCCAATTTCCCTTTAATAAAGCTTTGTAACTAAAAAAGTTGGTAAACTGCAATTCTTCGACAACCTAAGGCTTTCCAGTTTGTTTATCCCAACAAACTAAACAATACAACTCAAATGGTGTATAAATAAGCTTATTCTTAGCAAATAAATAAAACTAGTTTAAACGGGATAATGCACGAAACTTTATTTATTTATTGACGTTTCGTAGCCTTTCCAGGCTTCGTCGTCAGAATGCTGAGCGGCGTTTCGTTCCTCGAATGATGCGCGAGGCTATTGAGATTAAAAAATATCCAAATTTCAATAGGGAAGATGGTTGGTATATACCACCAGCTTGGGAACCTATTATACAGGAGATAAAATCCCAACCCCGAGCACATACTGCAAGACCATCAGATACTATTAGTTCTTTTTGTTTGCATAATTTAACATAAGAAGGAGATAGAAAGCCTCTCTTGAGTTTGTTTCGCCGGTTCTTCTCAGGAAGGTCTCCCAATTTTGGAACCGGTGGTAGTTTACGGTAGTTAGGGTCAAATAAATAAACGCAAAATTACAAACAAGAATTTTAAATAAAATACTTTATTAAGTAAATTAAATAATAAATTCATACATAGACAATAAAACTTAAAAATCGAACGATGAAATAACCAAACGCTCAATAAAAGTCTTTCGAAGGTAGCTCGACAAATTAAACAAAAGTTTTATTCTGACGACGAAGCCTGGAAAGGCTACGAAACGTCAATAAATAAATAAAGTTTCGTGCATTATCCCGTTTAAACTAGTTTTATTTAATGAGTGATGTGCGTGAAAACCTAAGAAACAAATATTATTCTTAGCAGTTTTCTCAATTAATACGTGGACGCTGTTACCTTTACTTTGGGTATGACCGACTTCTTAAAAGCAATAATGAATAGTGACTTTAAACGTAATAGCTGCGTGCATATACATAGCATAAACAATTCGATTTCGGTTTTGGCCTACACAATAGTCCGACCAAAACCGAAATTCACGTGTGCCTTGATCCTGTATTTAGCTATATACTTTTCAAATAAGCAAACTAGCAACTTCATTGGCCCCGCGTCTCCCTTGTCTTTCTTTCCAAAAAATAGCAGTTTTAAGTATTTTTTATTTTATTGCAGAGGCGCCACTTCCGTTCGACGCAAACATTGCAGGAATAAATGAAATGATGGATTTGTTAATTGATTCTGAGGAAATGTTTGAAGTAAATAATGTTTTGCTTATGGAACAAAGTCAGCAATAGTAATACATGCAATAACGTTCTTATACTATAATTAATATGTTTTATTTCAGACAACAAAAAATATTGTTATAAAATCACATATTTCGTTCTTCTTTTTAGGTCCTGATGATGAGTTTTCAGCGATTATTGCCTTTCACGGTTACCTAAATCCCAAAACCTCCCCATAATTCTCTCGTCATTACTACTATTCTAGTTGAACATTTTAATCTGCATTTCGTATGACATATAGGTCCCAAAGATTAACCACACCTAACAGTACCGTCGCGACTCTTATACACCTTGCCCAAGTTTCTTAGTAGTTTTCTTTTGTTGTCTTTTCATTTAGTAACATGACGACGTCGGATATTTCCCTTGTCCTTTCTTAGGTTGCTCTTTCTTTTCCTAGAAGTTTGTGGTGTCGCTTCTGAGAAAGAAGATAAAGGCGTTTGCTTGCGGAGTATAAACCAAACCAGTGTAAGTTGCATCAACAGATTGTAGTGGTGAAATATCTTTTTGAACAAACCAGGGACAGAATTGGTTATCATAATCAAAATCTAGATGATTTATTGTACAGTCTGGCGAAGGATGTCGCGCAATGCTGTCATTAATCGTTGAAGACTCATCATCAGGACCTAAAAAGCAGACGAAATATGTGATTTTATAACAAAATATTTTTTTTGTCTCAAATAAAACATAGTAAAAGTAATACATTGTAGTATTAGAACATTATTACATGTATTACTATTACTGACTTTGTTCCATAAGCGAAATATTATTTACTTCAAATATTTCCTTCAAAATCAGTTTACAAATCCATCATTTCATTTATTCCTGCAATGTTTGCGTCGAACGGAAGTGGCGACTCTGCAAAAAAAAATTGAAAATACTTAAAACTGCTATTTTTTGGAAAGAATAATATCGTAAATTATTGGTTGTAACGTAGTACAATATACTAAGTATCACATACAATAGAAAAATACGTTGACATTTCAACGTTCACTATCGGAAGTTTAAATACGACAACCATTTATATTTTTATCTCATCGTATAGTATCGTAAGTAGTCACTTAAGATAGTTGAAAAGTATCTGATATGGAAGTATAGTATAGTAAGTCATACTTACGATATTTTACTATGGGAACTATACGATTTTAAGTTATTATATAAACATATTTATTTTAATATTAGAAAATACATATTTACCCTCAATCTTCATAGACTCTTCAACAACAGCGTTGTCGGTAGTGTCGGTACACACGTCAACATCATAGTTTGAATTATGAACGGTCAACTGTTTTTGTGAATTCAAGTCATAATTTCTAGTCGCTGCATCCATCATTCGTCGCGATCTCGACAACATAATTATGGTTTAATATAACACTGTAGATTATTTTATGTCAATAGAGTGCTAAATAACAAAAAATGCAAACGTAAACAGCGCGCGACAGTCACCCCCGCGTACTCAATGGTTATTAACACTTACGATTCGGTCGCGCAGCTCAGCGATGCCCCCGCACCCGCGTATCATATGGGAAGTGTGCTATACCACATATTACTTCGAGTGAGATGAACATACGATAGTTTGCGGTCTTATTATCTAGTGTTTTATTGCAGATATTTGTTTTTGGATCAGTTCAGGCGATAATATACTATTAATTATATATAAAACTGCAATAAAGTAATTTTACACATTTTGTTGGTTACGATACTATACGTAGGAGGTGTCGATTTTTTGTAATAAAGTAACAGTTATAGGTATTCATATTTATAATATCAAAAGTATTTATTAATCTGGAACAACGGAACCAAAGCGCGATTCAGGAGACTACAGCGCCATCTCTTGACCATTGGTGTAGTAGAACCAAAAACCACATCTTTATTTTTTGTAATAAAGTAACAGTTATAGGTATTCATATTTATAATATTTATCCACATGTTTCTAGTTTGTATATTCGGAATACGTGTTTGAGTTTCATACAAGTGCAAATCACATATGTTCTAATAAATTATATTCAGTAGCGATTTTAATTGAATATTTTGATTATTTATTTATTTTTTCAAATTTAAACTGAACTTTATTGACTGTGTCCTTTTCCAGACTTTTTATTTATTTATTGTAATTAATTATTTGCATGCAGTTAAAAACTAATTTTAAACGATGCCAAAGAAGGATAACTTCTCACGCGCCTACATAAGTACACGCACCCATTTTTTTTTATTTTGAACTCTTTAAGTGTTCCAGAAGGCACGTACAGCCGTCGGTCTCGGCTGCAACTGTAGTCGTTAGCACACACCAATCCGCAGTTTAATGGCCCATTCACCCTATACCATCTGTAGGGAAAGCGTGTGTCCCAGCAGTGGGGACATTATTACATTAATAAGCTGATGATGATCATGGTGATGTATGAAACTTAAGTGAGGAGCTCGATGGTGCAAGCGGTTAGCGCGTCGGATGCGATCGTTGATGTTAAGCAATTTCGCAGTGGTCGGTCATCAGATGGGTGACCAAAAATTTACTATCTCTCACTCCCCCGTGCTTCGGAAGGCATGTCAAGCCATTGGTTACCGGCTGCATCTGCAGTCGTTAGCACACATGAATCCGCAGTTTAAAAGCCCATTTTCCATATGCTATCTATAGGGAAAGCCTGTGCCCCAGCAGTGGGGACATTAATAGGCTGATGATGCTCATGATGATGTATGGAACTTACTTGCATGAAAGGTTCGTTGGGAAGGCGCACGTTGCGGATGCGCGCTGGAGGTTTGTCCAAGCTAATGTAGTAGCCCAGTGCCAGGATCGTCCTGCCAAATAGAATAATTATAAATATAAGTAACTAGCTGACCCGGCGAACTTCGTACAGCCTTAGCGTAGCTTTGATACACTACTTTATTTTGTATAGCTGACCTATCTTATGCACGAGTACCATTACAATTTGAACTGGAATCTATAATATCCTCCATATAAAAATGAATCCTTATTTCCCTGGTCTCGCCATACCTGGGGACTTTACTTTTTATTAAATAAAAAATTTATAAAAAAATAAAAAAAAAAAATAAAAAAAATCCGTAAGAACCTTGTACAGAGTATTAGAAAACTACAAAAAAAAATCAGCCAAATCGGTTAAGCCGTTTTCATGTTATGTCGTGACAACGGAAAACGGGTTTCATTTTTATATATCTTAATATATATAAATCTCGTGTCACAATGTTTGTCCTCAATGGACTCCTAAACCACTGAACCGATTATAATAAAATTCGCACACCATGTGCAGTTCGATCCAACTTGAGAGATAGGATATTTACCCGGCTGCGCAATGCAAGAGCGCGAAGCGCGACGCGCAGACAGGGTTATGTGTTTAACAGTCTATATAATATGTATGTTTGTTCCTTTGTGGCACAATAGAGACCAAACGCCTGGACCGATTTTGATGATTCATACATCAATCGATTCGTCTCAATCATGGGAGTGCTACTAAAGATATAATAGTAATCAAAATTCAATATGGGCAACATTAGGCGCCATATTGTGACGAAGTAAAAAAAATAAGTTGACAAAATATGTCGAGTGGGCTATCACTGTCTAGATAATCAAAAATAATATTTAGGTTCCTAACACCATTTTTCATTTTATATGATTGTTTAGGATCTACAACGCTTTAAAGTTGTATATTAACCACTTACGTTTTTAATTTCAATCTTACGTTTGTATGGATCTTTGTTACTCTTTCACCTAAAAAATACTGAATGGATTTTAATGAAACTTAACAGTAATATAGCTCATATATGATAATTACATATATATAATAATTTATGTAGTTATTGAGTGAATTGGCCAATATATAGCAATAAGTGTCACATAAGACGGAAAAAAATCTCCCATCTGCGAGCCATTTTGGCCTGCACTGCAAAAACAATAAAAGTTACATGAATGTAATGTAGAGTGAAAATGTATCTCTTAAATAGTTCTAAAAAAAGTCCGTGACACCATATATCTATTTTTAATGTGTAAGTCATTACCGCTAAAATAGTGAATCAAAACTAAAATATTATTTGATATCTAATTCCAAAATGCACATTTTCTATTAACAAATCATTTTTTATCCAAACAAATACTTTTATCGCTTTTGATATTTAAAGACGATAAACTTTGCTTTTTACACTATCTCATTTCGACAAATATTTAAAAAATTACAACGATGACAAAGTGATAGCGCGGTGTACTATGTAAAAGAAAATAAAAAATGGGTATTCGCAGTATCTGATCCTATACGAAGTACTAAGAATAAAACTGTGATACAGTTCCTTCTTATTAAATGATGAAAAATATATTATTATAATAGGTATTTATGATTATTGAATTTTAATGAAAAACTCAGAATTTTACTGTTTTTCATTTTTTTTAACGATATTACTTAATGTTACAAAAAAGGTTTACTTAATATAATGACAAATAACCCATTTTTCGCTAGTATAAGTATAAGTACATACTTATTGGAATCCCTGTATTTATTAATCAGCTCGCGATAATATTGGTTTTGTAATAATTCTGCAAAATTCAAAGTAAATAATGTAGATTTTTATAGGTAAATCACCCCTTTCATCACCCTACGCCTATAAATATTGCGATGTTGTAGCTAAGAACCAAGTTCCCATCTACTTCTATATGGGAATTCATTATATTCGATTTAGCTATTAGGGCACGGAAGCGCAACAAACAAATTCACTTTCGCATCTATAATATTATATTATACTTACTAGTGATCCACCCGGGCATTGTACGGGCGAAATTTATTTATCGGGATAAAATATAGCCTATGCCACTCGGACAAAATGTATTTAAATAAAGAAAAATGTTATAATAAATAACGTAGCTACCTTATGATGAATTAATATTTGAAACCGGTCCAGTAGTTTGACAGATTATTTGTTAGAAACATACAAATCTTGCTTCTATATAATATTAGTATAGATAGTTAGGATAAGATAAGTATTTAATTGATGAAAAAGATTTAAAAATAAAGTAAGTAATAGGTTTATTTGATTATATTTGTAAAAGTTACTTAGCATTTGTGCTTATCAGTGATACATTATTCGGTATTTTTTTAAACAAAAAAAAATTTGGAAAATAATTGCCATGATTGCACCACTGGGAGTACTCTTCATTCGAGCTTTACACTCCCAATAAAAAAGGGTCGAACGCAAAGTCTTTGACCTGTTAATTGTGAACGCTTTAAAAGAAAACTACAAAAAGAACTATAAATTTATAATAAATGAGATTGCTATGGTGCTCTACCTAACTTTATGAAAATTTTATTATGCGCCTTAAGTTTAATCAAATATTATAAACTTTGCTTTGGTGATTGCATAATTATTTAATTTAGTGATCTAAGGCAATTGCCACCATTGTCCAAAACAACAGACGGGAATTACTGCTTTCTTCAACATGCGACATAAACGTCATTGATTGGTATTGTATATAGGGTGATTAAAAATATTTGAAGTTAACTTCTGACATCTACATATTGGGTTTCTGTAAATTATGTAGGTTTATCAAATTATGAGACTAGGGACTGACACTGAATTTGTGTATATCACAATCTTAGACTTCTGGCATTGACATGACAATGCAGCCACTGCCAATTTTAAATAGTCGACGAATAAAAGTAAATGAATTTTATATTTACTGCTAAACTATTAAAAAAAACATAAACAAAAGATGACTTATAATTTTTATTATTTTAAAGCATGTAACTGCTTGATGTTTAAGATAACTTTTTGAGTAAGTGCTAGTTTACTATAAAATTTACATACATAAGAGATATTTATGTAACGACTTGATTTAACTTCACACATTTTTGCGAAAATTGAGGCCCATCTGTAGCCTTGACCCCGCTGGTAAAGTCTTTATATGTCTTAATAAATCAATCTTTTAGACCGACGCCAGGTACTTAATAATTCCCACGATATTAATTCCCATACTGAAGTAACAAGACTACGGTATATACCGTCTTAAAATAGTAACTAACTAAAAAGTGTGAAATAAAAAAGGTAAATTTAAAAAATCAAAAAACCCGACTGCTTAATTATACTTCAAATAAAAACTGAAAAGAAAAAAACAAGTCCAGTAGTCTATAATTCTGTTAATAAGGAACAAAGCTACTTTAACAGTCGGGACCCATTAGATATTCAAGAATACATAATATTTTTCAACAGTGGGTCCCGACTGTTAAAGTAGCTTTGTTCCTTATTAACAGAATTATAGACTACTGGACTTGTTTTTTTTCTTTTCAGTTTTTATTTGAAGTATAATTAAGCAGTCGGGTTTTTTGATTTTTTAAATTTACCTTTTTTTTAAATCTCAAATTATAGTCGCAATTTTAATTTATTGCAAATTATTACTTTTGGGCGGTACGAAGTTCGCCGAGTCAGCTAGTAAAGATTATGTTTTTGAAAACTTCTTTAGCGGCGTTGTACACTTTTTTTGTATGGGTAAAACATGATAAACTCGCGTCGGGACACGTGGCCTGACCGAAATATACTGATATTTTATTTTATCGTATTATAATAATAATATGAGTAGTCATGCTCTCTTAAAAATCTCTTCGGCGGTGTCGTGTCATCAGAAATCAGAAATTAATATATCTTTATTCAAATTGGATGTATAGTACAACTCTTTTGAATCGTCCAAAAAATTTTTTCCCTACCACTCGTTATGGACATATTTTTTAGCTGCGGAGAAAAACGAGCGAAAAAAACTCCACAACATTAAAAGTCTAATGTAACAACATTTACAATTCATTATGTTGTTACAACGTCAATACAATTATGATTTATTTAATATAGAAAACCTGTTGGAATGATTGGAACAGTTCAAACCCAAGCATTTTTGTCTGTAATATAATCAGACACTTTGTAATAAGCTTTTTTAATAAGTGTTTTTTTTATAATATCTTTAAATTTATTTATGGCTAACTCTTGGATATTGCTTGGGACTTTATTGTATAAGCGAACACAAAGACCTTTAAATGAATTATTAATTTTGTGAAGCCTAGCAGCAGGTAAAGTTAGTTTATTTTTGTTTCTTGTATTAATTGTGTGAACATCACTGTTTTTAAGAAACAAATTAATATTTTTTCTTACAAGTAATAAATTTTCGTATATGTATTGTGATGCGACCGTCATTATTCCAAATTCTTTAAACTTATCTCTTAATGATTCTTTAACTTTAAGATTATAAATTGATCGAATAGCTCTCTTCTGCAGCACAAAAATAGTTTGAATGTCGGCGGCATTTCCCCACAATAAAATTCCGTACGACATTACACTATGGAAATAACTAAAGTACACTAATCTGGCCGTATCTACATCCGTTAACTGGCGTATCTTCATTACGGCATATGCTGCAGAGCTAAGTCTATTTGACAATTTATCAATATGTGGGCCCCATTGAAGCTTAGAATCTAAAGTTATCCCTAAGAATACTGTGGTGTCTACAAGGCCCACATTCCTATTCTTTACATTCACACTGGTTTTTACCTGTTTTACATTAGGTAATACAAATTTCATACATTTCGTTTTTCCTTCATTAAGTAATAAATTGTTAACATTGAACCAGTGGACTACCTTAGAGATACAATTGTTCACGTCGTCAATAACTTTTTCATTGCGTTTGAGTTTAAATAAAAGTGATGTATCATCCGCAAACAATACTATCTCATGGTTATCTCTTACATAGTAAGGTAAGTCATTAATATAAATTAAAAATAAGAAAGGACCTAGGATTGAGCCCTGCGGAACACCCATCTTAACCGGCGAACCCGGAGACTTATTACCATTAATGTCAACCCTCTGAATCCTATCCCTCAGGTATGATGCAATAAGATCCAGATCAGTATCTCTAAATCCATAGTGGTGGAGTTTCCTGAGTAATGTTTCATGAAAAACGCAATCAAAAGCCTTGGACAAGTCGCAAAACACACCTAGAGCGTCCTGCGAGTTCTCCCAGGCGTCAAAAATTTGTTGTATAAGTTCAACACCGGCATCGGTTGTTGAACGACCCCGTGTAAAACCAAATTGTTTACAGTGAAGTATATTATATTTATTAAAATGTGATTGCATTTGATCTAACATGATTTTTTCAAAAATTTTACTAAAGGTGGGTAGTACAGAAATTGGTCTAAAGTTTGTGGGGTCTGATGTACTTCCCGTTTTATGCAAAGGAGTAATTTTACTGTATTTCATGAGGTCAGGAAAAACACCACAGTCAACACAATCATTAAATATGCAAGCTAGAATAGGAGCTATTGTCTCAATTACCGATTTAGAAACATCAACGGAATTGCCCCACAGATCCGCGGTTTTCTTTTTATTTAATTGGTGAAACGTTTTTATTACATCTTTAAAGTCAACATGTTTAAAATGAAAATAACTAGTACAAGGTTTCACGTTTTCTCTTAAGATTGATTCGGCAGCAATGGGGGAAGAGTTCAAAGATTTCGTAGTTGAAACTGGAATATCAGTAAAGAAATTTTCAAACACTTTAGCAACTTCAATATCTGATGTAACCTTTTTATTATCAATATTTAGGTTATAATTATTTTTGCGAGTTTTGGATTTTCCAGTTTCATTGTTTATAATATTCCATGTCATTTTGATTTTGTCATTACTGTTCTTAATCTTTGAACTTAAGTAATTTGATTTTGCTAAGCGGCATACTTTTTTAAACAATTTGGAATAGTTACGAATATGCTCTTTAAATTTTTCACTAGTGTTAGAGTTTCGTTCATTATAAAGTTCATAAAGTGTTCTTCTACTTTTATGAATTCCAGGCGTAGCCCACTTACTAAAATTTACCGCATCATTAACACATATTTTTTTGGGTAAAAAAACATTATTAAATTCATCGCAATATATATTAAAAAAATCATTATATAAATCAGTTGGACTGTCTTTATATTTAAGATAACACAATTTTCTATCTAATTGACTTTTAAAACGTTCCACACGATTAGCAGTTTTTGGTATAACAGTGATGTGTTTTTTCGTCATCTGCTTGAGCTGATACGGAAAAGTAATCAACTGGCCACAATGATCACTATCTAGTTTATTAATAATTTGTTTTTTCTGTGGTATAATATCTGTATATATATTATCAATACAAGTGGCCGAAGTGGCAGCTATTCTAGTAGGCTCAATGAATAAGTTTTTCAGATTGTATGATTGAAATATTTTTTTTATTTTAGTACATGAACTAGATTTTTCTAATAAATCAATATTAAAGTCACCACAGACAATCAACCGTTTGCCTGTAGTGTATGTTTTTTTAAGAGCTTCATCCATGATAACTTCAAAACAATCATACAATGCTGATGGAGGTCTGTATACGCTCAATACAACAAGCTGGTCCAGTTCCACACAGGCAATTTCTATTGTTCGCTCAACCGAGAGGCTCACAATATCTCTTCGTTCCTTAAATTTTAGTTTTTTATTCAATAATATTAAAGAGCCACCTCGAATTGCATTTTCTCGATTGAATGAACTACCAACCTGATGATTATTAAAATTAAATATATTTTGATAACTTTTTAGCCAGTGCTCTGTAATACAAAAAATATCTATATTATTACAATTCATAAATAATTCAATTTCTAAGTCCTTACCCATCATTCCTTGAATATTAAGATGCACCAGGTTGATAAAACTTACATTTTTTGCAATGTTTTTGGATGGGTTTTTTTTATCTATATTAACAAAATTGTATTTTTTATTTACATTATTATTTAACAATATGCAAGACGAATTATCTTTTGTCTGATTGCTTAATTTAAACATTTATTATTATTTTGAGTGGTTTCAGTAGAATAATTACTGATTGTCATGTGAGTGTGAGGCGGGTCGTTACGTTCCCTAAAAAATGGTTGAGCGAAGCGTTAGCTGGTTCATGCGTCATGCTCGTGAACTGGTGCTGCCAGCGGAGATGAGTCTGCTGTTGCTAAATTGGGTACTATTAATCGTTGTATTTAACTTTAATGGTACATTTGTTTTTATGCCTAAACAGTAGGACACGGCATTCCTAAACTTTTTTTTATTTTTAAATCTGTTTTTTATATTTTTCATTTTATAGTCATAATTGTTTTATCATTTACATTTGTAATGGAAAGTGACTTCATGAGTTATCTCATATTGAAGTCATTTTTCAAATTGAGGACTCATTATATAATACAGGGAGAAAAAAACAGCCCTTGCTGAGTTTCTTGCCGGTTCTTCTCAGTACAAGGTCTCCCGCCGTAGATTTGCGAACCGATGGTGTAGCTTTTCGACATTCACAAGTGCTTGTAATAGCCTAGACTGAATAAACGATATTGAATTTTGAATTTTTTGAAAAAGTCTCTATCTAGGACGTCCAGGTGGCATCTTTATTGCGAAGGAAATGTATTTTTTTTACAATAGATGTCGCTAGGTGCGCTTAAATAAGAAATACTGAGAGATAAACTTTTTAATGTAATATGTTGTATGAGTAATGTTGTTTGATTATATGAATGATAGTTTTCTACATTTTATTTAAATAAATGATCTAAATTAAAAATCATTTGTTCGGTCTAGGCTGTTATAAGCACTTGTGAAGGTCAAGAAACTACGCAATCGGGTCGCAAAACAAGAAACTCAGCAAGGGCTGTTTTTTTCTCCCTGTATTGTTATAGACAGAGTCGTCAAGATGAAAAATTACTTCACTCAAAAATGATTTTTATATATTTATATATATTATAGCTGACCCAGCGAACTTCGTACCGCCATAAAAATAGGGGCAGGTGGTAGAAGAGAAAATTTGTCATCGCGTATTTTTTAATACGACATTATAAAAAAAAATGGGTGCGTGTACTTATGTAGGCGCGTGAGAAGTTATCCTTCTTTGGCATCGTTTAAAATTAGTTTTTAATCGCATGCAAATAATTAATTACAATAAATTAATAAAAAGTCTGGAAAAGGACACAGTCAATAAAGTTCAGTTTTAATTTGAAAAAATAAATAAATAATCAAAATATTCAATTAAAATCGCTACTGAATATAATTTATTAAAACATATGTGATTTGCACTTGTATGAAACTCAAACACGTATTCCGAATATACAAACTAGAAACATGTGGATAAATATTATAAATATGAATACCTATAACTGTTACTTTATTACAAAAAATAAAGATGTGGTTTTTGGTTCTACTACACCAATGGTCAAGAGATGGCGCTGTAGTCTCCTGATTCGCGCTTTGGTTCCGTTGTTCCAGATTAATAAATACTTTTGATAAGCCTTCACAATGCAGTCGTTAGCACCCACTAAATAGAGATTCTATTTCTATTTTGTTGGTAGATTTTTAATGTGCGGTAAACACAAAAGTAACGCATGAAGTTGGTCGCTAAAGCGACCAACTTCATGCTGTTAAAATTTTGTGTTACAGTGATGCGCGCGCATCTTAAAATTTCACTCTCATCATTTTTTCATAACACGCCTAAAGAAGTATAACTTCAAAAATAAATATTGTCTAAAATAAATTTTGAGAGGTGTGTAACGTAGTATTCTATCAATTTCCTGGGATAACATTCCTCCTAACCCATATGAGAACACTACGTTACAATACCCAATAGTTAGAATTTTGGTGCAAAGGCACATTGTAGGTTTCAGAACACTAAGTTCCAGGTGGACAACCATTATCACTTAAGGATATGAAAAATAGATAGTAGCCGATTCTCAGACCCACGGAATATGCATATAACATTTTATAAAAGTCGGTCAGGCCGTTTCGGAGGAGTATGGTAATTAACATTGTGACACGAGAATTTTATATATAAGATAATGATAAGCGTCCTATATCAATTTTTATAAATAAAATGTCATTTTCAAAACTTTTGCCAACCACTGCATTGGTCAATCACCTTTTACGGACTTTGTTTACATTTTGTATCACTTCTCGTTGGCCGTTTTTTAGTTATAGTGTGAATAAAGGAAATAGGGATTAATTTATATATAGTTACTATCGGCCGCACGCAACTATATAGGGTGAAATTGAATGTTTTAATGAAACTTCGTGGGATTGTTGGGTTACGTATATAGAGTATCTCTGTTTTTTTTTGTTTTTTTTTAAATGATTTAAAAATAAAGTAAATATATATATATATATATATTTAATATCAAAGGAGTCGCATCAGCTGAGCTCTGTGTAACTACTCACTCAACGGCTGGCGGGTGCGGTCGTTGACCCGCGGTGGCTGCACCCGCTTAATTTTCCTGTTTTCCCGTTTCTATATTAGTGTTTATTTATTAGTTTTTTTTTCACTGAATATGTAAGTATGAGTGTTTATAATGAATAAACTACTGTAAAGGAAGAAATTACATAAAAATACACAAATTATAAATAAAATCATGAAAAAAAATACAATAAAAATCAGACATACTCTGTACACGTAACCCAATAATCCCACAAAGTTTCATTAAAACATTAAATTTCACCTTATATACATCTGCGTTACTTTTTATTTTTTTTGGAAATGCCTCAGGAACCTAATACTTTTCCTGGATGAAAAATATCCTATCTCTTGCCAGCTGTCTGTGTGAAATTTTTTATACAAATCCGTTCAACCGATTGAGTAACAAACAAACTCAATTTCACATTTATAATACTAGGTAGTTAGTATTAGTATATAGTTATTCATAAGTTACTTGAGCGTCTGCACGGCTAGTTGTATATCATATCTCTTCTCAGCGGGTGGCAGTCGCTCAAAGGGAACCAAGCAAGGGTGGATTTTGTGTAGATCTTCTCTTTGGTCTCCGTACATCCAGCCTGCTTCAATCTGTAGGCAAGAATAATATACAATCAATCTTCTTTGTGTCATCATAATTATCATCAGCCTATTAATATCCCCACTGCTGGGGCTCAGGTCTTCCCTATGGATGGGATAGGGAGATTAGCCCGTGATCTATCACGCGGGCCCAGTGCGGAGTGGTGGGTGCTAACAACTGCAGATGCAGCCGGGACCAACGGCCTAACGTGCCGTAGGAAGCACGGAGCAGCTTGATATAATTAATTTTTCGTTCTTATTCATTCGCTTAACTGTGGAAGTTATTAGATTGTAGGCAAATTCCTTAGCACTGCGCTTTTTTTGTTTATATTTATAATATAAAAGTTATGTATAAAAAAGAGGCATATAAGTAAGGTCCATTAAGAAAAAGAAATATTGACATATAGTCCGTGTAATGGGTCATAGCCCATATCCTATTCCACCCATAGGCCAGTGACATTAGTGGGCTGGTGATGAATAAAATGTATCTTTCGATTGAATTAGTATGAATATGCCCAAATTATAGTACCCAAAAAATATAATAAAAAATAATTTTTGGGTAATTATATTTGACACAAAAAATATTGTTCGATATCCTGTTGGATACATAAAGTACGTACCTTATTCATTGCCCACATTTCGTGGATATTTTCAGCAAGCTTGTCCCGAATTTGTTCGACATACGAAGGTAGAGTAATCTGCAACAAATGATATATATTTTATGTTCAACAAATCTAATTAACGCTTATTGAACGCCTTAAAGAAAGACATTTTTCTAACTTTAAATAATTGTTTAAATTCAAACAGAGGTAGAACCTGATAAGCTTTTGATTGATGAACTTATAGTACTAGTGTGCCTAATTTATTATAAATTTTATTTTTAATGTGATTAGGTACTAGTAAATAAGAATGACGACCTCCGTGGCCGAGTGGTTTGTACGCCGGGTTTCATGGCGTCGCCGACTCGAGAGATCCCGGGTTCGAATCCCGGTGGGGGCAGATGTTTGTGTGATGAACACGAGCATTTGTACTCCAGTCATGGATATTTAATATGATTTACATATATGTGTAAATATACTTATATATGTACAGTATAGGTATTCTATCCGTTGCCCTAGTACCTCATAACACAAGCCTTATAGTGCTTACTTTGGGGCTAGGCTAATTGGTGTGAGTGTTGGAAATATTTATTTATTATTTATTAAATATCTAATTAGACAATGAAGCTATACAATACTATAATAATTAAAAAAAATATGGGCACGGACCACATATCTGAAGTGAAACTTCTTTTCTTCAATAACCTAACATTAGGCAGTGCATAAGGCATATATGAATATGTGTATATATAGTCTTTCGTGTGACGCTCGTGACGCTTGCAGCGTTTTAGTATTCGGCAAGTTACCCTCCAACTTTCATGCTCGTTGGAAAGAGCTGCGCACGCATACCACATATATGACATTAAGTCTCGTTCTGTCATGTCACGTCATCGTAGTGTCGTCGTGTGACGCTCGTGATGCATTTCCGTTTCATCTTTTCCATAGGATTTTTCCATTTGCACCACGTCCGGAAAGAAATTTCATTTAAAAACTTAGATTAAACAAAAGGGAAGATACGGTACATTCATACTAGCATCAAATAAAATATGATCCGACTCCACTACATAAGCAACTGTCACACACGCTCACGTCTGTAAATAAACATTCAATCTAGCGAGCGAGACAGAACTGTGCGCTTGCTGAGCTGTATTGTTGTCCTTTTCTTGATTTTGACGACAAACCGTGATTTTTGAGAAAAAAATGATTTAACAGTTTTACGAATGAGAAGTTTTGTCGAGGCATTTGTTATTTGATTTTGAACAACGAGTATTTGTATTCTTTATAAAAGCATCGGAGGCATTGTTTTATCTTTATAACACCAGAATATACGCAATATTGTTATATTGAGTGTACATGCAGCGTGTTTGAATGTCCAATTGTGACTACAGCGAATTGTGGTCACGCACCACAATTTAAGCGGAACACTTTTCAGCTGCGAGTGCCGTATCTTCCATTTTTGTTTTAATCTAAGCTTCAAAACCAAATTCATTAAAAATATTCTCTTCAAATTACCTGTAACGTATCGACCGGCGTCGGTACGAAAGCAGTATCATCTTGCACCAGAGGTGGTCCAGCTAATGCCCTCTTAGCCAAGTTGCCGAAGTAGAAGCAAGGTTCCAAGCTCAGGATCTGCTGAGGCAGGAGAGATTCCACCAGGGGGGAGTAGCCTTCAGGGGCGGCGTAGCGGAGACGACCGTGTTCCCCTCCAAGGAGGAAACGACAGCTAAAAAATTACAATAATTTTCAGTTGAGAAAAGTTTTGAAACCTGTACCCCTAGCACGAACCATTATCGAATTCGAATAGTTTGCTAGTCTGAAATGTCATTGTCAAATTTTGTATGAAAACTTGAACAGCAGCGGCACAAAGTACGTAACGAGAACTAAAAATCAGTACACATTTGACAATGACATTTCGGACTCGCAAAAGTTACCAATTCAATTTTGGTTTGTGCTAAGGGTACAGTACCTTTAGCGTCAACCAATATCGAATTCGAATAGTTTGCGAGTGCGAAATGTCATTGTCAATTGTGTAAGGAAACTTGAACAGCAGCGACACAACGGATGTAATGAGAAATAAAAATCAGAGCACATTTGACGTATAAAATATATTAGAATTCAACTATTCAATAATTATATTTGAATACTGTATGCGTTGAATGGACATTCCATTAAAAATATATAGGAAAACCAACTAGACGTAGACAGTCAACCTGTAACTGTGAACTCAATGAGAACATCGCTAGAATTTAAAACCAATAAATCGATTTTGTGCAGAAGCAGCTACTTTTTCAATGGCCGGTCATAGAATGGACGTCCAGAAATTTACAAATATCAAGATCCTGCTTTGGAACGCACATTAAGTCGTTGGTCGCGGCTACATTTGCAGTCGTTAGCACCCACCAATCCGCACTGGGCCCGCGTGAAGGGCACGTCACGGCCCATTCTCTCTATTCCATTCATAGGGCAGATTTGTCCCCTATAAGTGGGGACCTTTAAATAGGCTGATCGGAAAGATAATCTGCGTCAAAATCTAGGATATAAAAAATACATATTTATTTTATTTTCTGTGATATTGGCATTGTCAGAACTCAATATAAACAGAAGGAAAAAGTATGCTTAAAATAAATTGTGTTACTATTTAAACTTACCTCAGTTTGCTGGAACAGCTGATGACAGGGAAGAACATGCCCTCCAAGTTGAAATTGGTGAAGGATCCGGTGACCCTTACGCCGTTGAACATAAAGTTGATAATCGGCACTGTCAAGTCTAGAGCGCATCCGATGACGTCACCTAAGATGTGAAATAAGTCAAATTAAAGCTTATCATATAAAACATATAAGCACTTATAATGCGATTCAAATAAGAATAGGAAAGCCAATGACCTCCATCTGTCAAATGTGGCTTGAAAAGTACGGTTTGCAAAAAATTCTTGAAATCTTTTTTTAGCACTCAGCTAATTCTAGAATAAAAATCAAACATTTGTAAACTAACAATAACAAATATTGATAATTAATATTGGTTGATATTTTTTTTCATTTATTGAGCTTTGGCTATGAATGTTCGATAACCGAAATCTTCAACCAAATGTCATTTTAAGTTGCGTTCAGAAACTCGATTTAAAACTTTCGTTTACTTATAGGATGCATGTTCGTATATGACCTAGTAATAGTGCATGAATATCCATAACTACTCCGGCGGTAATGCAGAGATGAGCGGAATTGAAGAGCTTAATTCTCATTAATGGTTTTTCTCACACAGTGGTAATTAATAAATATTATTAAAAATCGGTTGTTTTCTTTTCTCAATAATTTTCTCACTTAATCTTAGTAAATAACTTTTATTAAATAAAAACTTTTTTTTGCTCACTCTACCTATTTCGTTTGAATCGACAGCTATGACGTCACGATATGGCGCCCAGTCAGTCCTATTCTTAGTTGAATCGCATTATAAGTGTGAGAGAGGAAGTGATCGTTCGGAACGATCGAATAATTCGTTCGGAACGATCGAATAATTCGTTCGGAACGATCGAATAATTCGTTCGTTGTCATTGCTTTCTAATTTTTTAAAGAGTTGCCAATTCTATGATTTTCACGGGTGAAATTTATTTAAAAACGATAAAATATAGCTTATGCCTCAGATTACAGAACATTTTGTTTTGTAATCTGAGGCTTATTTTATGTCAGTCAATGGCAAAGGCAATGTATCATTCTGATGCTAGGACCATATATACCACCGAATATTCGTGCCCCGTTATCGTGATAAAACTTTGTAAAATTTGAGAAAAACATGGCGATGTCGCGATAATACAGTACATATTGGCAATAGAACGAATTGCTTGGCAAGAATTAACGCAAATATTCTCGTTATCGCGATATTGTGGCACTAGCATAATGGTGAAAGAATTTTCAAAATCAGTCCAATAGTTTTCGAGTTTAATCGCTACAAACACCAATCTTTCTTCCTTATAATGCCGACACTTAACATAGCTATTCGTGTTTGTTGCTTGTTATTTTGACAGCAGGTTATCCTGTTATACTTTATAGGAAGGAAAAGGAAAGTCTGTTTCCACGTCTACAAATAGCAAATACGAATAGCCATGTGAATTGACGGCACAGTATAAGCATAGATTGGGGTGTTCGTGGAAACATAAAAGATAAACACTTATTGGTGTCAATTCTGGCATGATTCTCTAAACGTATTCTTCAATTTGCCAACAGTATATCCTTGTCATTTTCTATTCAGAATGAAAGGGAAAACTGATTTTAAATTTAGCTTTAAGTTTAGAGAATCATGCCAGAATCGATACCAGTTTATTGCTTTACAGAGGGCCACGTACGAGTTTTTGAAAATTATCGTAAACGTTAAATTTTATTTGGAAAAAACTAGTTTTTTTACGTCCGATAGGGGCGCTGCTCAGTTTTCATAGAGACTTTGACGATGCGATACGTTACGGAGCTATCAAAAACTCTTATTTGGGCCTCTGTAAAGTAATACACTGGTATCGATTCTTGCATGATTCTCTAAAGTTAAAGCTAAATTTAACATCAGTCTCTCGTTTTTAATCAGCATAGAGAATGACAAGGATACACCGCTGTCAAATTAAAGGATACACTTTTGTCAAATTAAAGGATACGCTGTTGTCAAATTAAAGGATACATTGTTTTCAAATTACAGGATCCACTGTTGTCAAATTAAAGGATACACTGTTCTCATATTAAAGGATACACTGTTGTCAAATTAAAGGATACACTGTTGTCAAATTAAAGGATACGCTGTTGTCAAATTAAAGGATACACTGTTTACAAATTAAAGGATACACTGTTGTCAAATTGTCCATCGTGCGGGCATCATCGGGCCTGTGATGCAAATACTCACCTTTCCTTATATACGGCTCGTCTGCATGCGTCCTATTAACGGGCGTTTTCCTTCCGCCGGCCCAGAGGAAGGCACCGTCGTACCCAAACGAGTACAGGTCGTCCCCCACTCCGTTCCCTCCCCATTTCTCCCCCCCGCCGGGGTACGGCACGTATCTAAACACCCAGAAAATGATCATGTATAGGGTAGTACAACCATTTTAATAAAGTATCTCAATTAAATTTAAAAGTGCTAATAATATACTTACAAAACATAACATTTTTATTCAATCGTTAAGTGCCTTAAAAAAGGATTTAAAGGAGATTGCTCAGCTTCCATACATGTTTGGCCTAAAAACCAATAACCATGAAAAATTGTTTCCTACATTCGAAATTATATATAAATTACCGTAGAAACGAATATTATCGACGGCCACTCCTGGGAACTTCTATAAACCATATACACTGAATGATTTTGAGGTTATGTTTGCAAATAGGCACATTGGTATTAGAATAATAAAAACCAAATAACTTATATAGGAAAATAGGGCAATCAAGCCAAGTACCTACCGATATTATGTATTAGATTCAGGTATATAGAGCATGTAAAATAACAGATATGTGCATGTTTTTAAAAACACGAACAGAAACTGTGTGATGATTGTGAATGAGCCACAGATTAGAGAGAATTTTTAAACTCTCGTTAATCAAAGAAAGCTGAGAGCTGTAGGTTATACAGCCATATCTTCAGCAGCTTCATTATTTTTGTTATGTTTTTATTATAACCATATTTTAGATTTTTAGTGTATCACACCTTATAATGTGTTTATTTAGGTGTTTGGCAAAAAATGTACGGCAATAGACTTTATGATGTCGCCTACCATCTATATTAATTGTCTTAGCACATTTGCATGTAGTAAAAAAGATAATAAAGTTGTGGATATTAATACCACCCGTGTAATAAAAAAAAAATATATTTTATCAATCTTTACAAAATAGATTTGTTTTGATGTTATATAAACAACCTCGATCAGTCTTTGTGAATGTTACTACACCCATAGCCAATAAAATGATTCGTATGTTTTCCAAACCGGTAAAAATAGAAGTCCTTTTTTAAAATTAATATATTATTTAAAGGTGGCCGTTAAAATCTAATGACTGTAAAATAAAGTATAAATTACGCCAAGAATTACTGTATATGTCAATATTTTATTTGCATTTAGGCCAATTTGACCAATCTCCTTTAAAATTTTAAAATTTTGCGCGTAGTTAAAGAAAAACACTGGACGTAGTGAACGCCATATTGCTCTGCGGTCTTGACGTCATTAGTACTGTAAATAAATGCGTTACCTTGGTTACGAAAACATTAAAGTACTTGACAGCTGACACTTTGGCATATACTAACGGTGTGACATAATAACGTGGTGTCTACCATTTCATGGTGTTATAAAACAGATTAAAAAAAACAGAAATCTTTGAATATAATTTTGAAATGCACTTTGTTATTTTATTAACTGAAACAACTAAATTTTATTTAAAAACTAAAAAGGGAAAATCTATAAATGCCATATTATTATTATTAATCATGATTAATAATAATAATATGGCATTTAAAGATTTTTCCTCAAGTACAGTGAAATACCCTATTATGCTATTAACTCCACAAAAGCTCCTATAGGCCCATCTTTAACTGAAGTTTGATTATTAAAACTGACTGTTGTTAGTAAGGCTACGAAAGGCTCATAAAGCCATTGTTCCCGGCTACATTTGTTGTAATTTAAGGCACTCCGAAGTACTGGCTTAACGGCGCTCATAATGTTAGCAATCTCAGTCAGTGAAACCTATAGATCTGTATTATATATACAATATATAACAATGATATTTAATACCCCTAGATACACCATGTGTACTCAAAATGTGTCCCAATCAAGAAGTGCTTGAACACGACTCAAGCACTTCTTGGTTCACAGTCACGCGCGGACCGTTGAAAAGTCAACATCCCGCAGAGCTCCGGAAAAAAATACGTAGTACAAGTATTTTTTTATAGAAGTTATCAAAGTTAATAAAGTTTGTAACAAAATTTAACATACCCAGAAGTGTTAGCCCATCCGATTCGCAGATGTGGCATCATATGAGTGGTTTTCTCTATATGGTCCATGGTCACTTCGAAGTACCATTTCTGGTACACAGCCGATCCTTCCACTCTACCCACGAAGATGTTTGGTCGAACGCTTTTAGAGAGATAGAAATTACCGAGTTAATGAAAATTATGACAAAAAATAACGTTATAAAGAAAATGTTCACTAGAGAAAATTGAATTTGTTTCAGTAATTAAAAAAAAATATTAAAGCCTACTCATAGCAGAAGAATTTCGTAGAGCCTGTGTGGAAAGAGAATGGGATTTAGATTGGAGGGCGCTGTAGTGCTTCTCTACCGTATTTGAAAGGTTTTACCCCTTTTAGACATGATTAAATACAAAAAACCGCAAGAAATCACAACAACAAACAAATCCGTATCAATACAAAACTTTGACGTTTTACAGATTGCTGGGTTTGATTGCCAAATAAAAATCATAATGTTAGTTCCGTTTTTCGCCACGCCCATTCTCTTTGCGCACAGACTCTAGCAGTTAAATGCTCAAATAAAAATATAATTGAAAAAAGAAACAAAGTATGTTTTAAAGCTTTCAAATGCATCAAAAGTTTAGCTCCACTAAACTTTTGAGGGCATAATTTCTGTGGTTTTAAGTTCCTTTAGTTTTAACAATCGCTGTGATCTTTCATGAAGACCAACTATTAGTTAACAATTAGCGACAACTCATTATCCAGACCATTTCCTAACTTAAGGACACTATTAGTTTGTAGTCCTTATATTAGAAAAAAACGACCTAACAATTTTCGTCCCTTACTCAAAGCAAATAAAGTCCAAATCACCTCGACACGTGGTCCACAAGTTGAGTTTGTAGCAGTAGATTCTTCCCAGGCAACAGATAATCGCAGATATTGTTCTGTGAAGATCTCACAGCCACACCATTACCGACGCATAGAGAGCATAAAACGTCCAGAACTTTAGGGTCGCGGCCATGCTTTTCAAGAAGCGATATGATGACTTTGATGTGTTCATCCTATAGCAAGAGAGCGAAATATTAAATCCTCATTGTGTTTTTCTTTAATATAATATTCAAGTGGAGCTCGATGGTGCAAGTGGTCAGCGCGTTCGGCGGCGATCGTTGAAGTTAAGCAACTTTCGCAGCGGTTGGCCTTTGGATGGGTGACCGAAAATTTACTATCATGAGCTCCTCCGTGCTTCGGGAGGTACATTAAGCCGTTGGTTCCAGCTGTATCTGCAGTCGTTAGCATCCACCAATCCGCACTGAGCCCGCGTGGTGGGTAATGGCCCAATCTTCCTATTAAATCCATAGGGAAGGCCTGTACTCCAGCAATGGGGACATTAATAGGCTGATGAAGATGATAAGTAGAATTATATGTAGATAAGTAGTATTATCAGTCACCCCACATCATGTTGAGTGTCATTAGTCATAGTATTTCTCCACATATATTTACCCTTATCATATCCAGCGCTTCAGGAGTCTGGAGTCTCCGGATAAGTCTATCTAGTCTAGTCTATAAGTACGCAGTTTAGCAGGTCGAACTTGTTTGTACATTCTTCTAATATTAAAAATGCGAAATCTCTTCAAGCTTAAACTACTGAACCGATTTAGACGAAATTTTGATATAGAGATAGTTTGAGACCAGAAATTGCCCTTTAGGGGGGTAAAAAGGGGAATGAAAGTTTTTCATTTAATCAATCTTTCGTTTATTGGGGGAAGACAATTTTTCCACACCATACAGATTTACTGAAGATAAACATTCTCATCATCTCAGAAGACATTTTTCAATTTAACGACTTTGTAAATGATAACACAGGGGAAAAAACCAGCCCTTGCTCGGTTTCTTGCCGGTTCTTCTCAGTACCCGTCGTAGATTTACGAACCGATGGCGTAGCTTCTAGACATTCATGAGTGCTTGTAACAGCCTAAACTGAATATATGATTATCATCTTACCCTCATCATGTTGAGCGCTTCAGGTGAGTCTATAAGCACGCAGTGTAGTACGTCTAACATCCCCGTCCCCTCGCCGGAAGCTTGAGAACCGAGTCTAGAGAACAGCCAGTTGAGACGGTTGGAATTGGCGAATTGGGCGCAGTTAGTATGGTTGCCCTTTATTATCGCCGCTGTGAGACAAACATAAATAAAATTAACATCAAGCAGTTACATGCTTTAAAAAATATATTATCTATAATTGCTATTTCTTCTTAAATGTTTAATACTTGTAAAAGTATTCATTTCACATTGTGGGTTGCCTATAATGCGAAGAGATGGCGCTGCCTTGCAGCTTAAGAATTGGTCAGTGCATTCGCCCGGATTGCGAAGGGTGCGGGTTCGAGTCCCGTCTGCTGCCTGGTCCCGTGGATTTTTTTCTAATTATATTTTCTTTAGATTTAAACATGAAGCAGTTACATGCTTTAAAAATAATAAAAATTATAACTATAAATAAAATTAATATATTTTGTCTCCTTTTTAACATCTTTCACAAACCTTTATATCCTTCCTATAACCCCAATCCCTTCTCAAATGTCCTACTCACAAAACTGACTTTGCATCCTACTCTTTTACAGTGCATGCCGTCCGCTTGTGGAACTCGTTGCCAGCAGAAATCAGAGACGCTCATACCATTTCTACGTTTAAAAAAACGACGGGATGCACTCCGGGAGTGCCGGCAGAAGTGAAAACTTGAATATTACGTTGTGCATTTTTGATATTTTGGAATGGTTAGGGAATAACTAGCAAACCAGTGAACCAAATGTTCACCAAAACCTGATTTTAAAAAAAATGTATTTAATTAATTGAGAACTTCGGAGATTTTGTGTGGTTTTGTTTGAAATTCGTGATTTTTCGAAAACCGGAAGTGCTACGTTACTCAAATCCGGTTTGTAGTCTTATCAGACTATTCTTAACTTATAACTTAAATATTCTCTTTATCTATCTATTACGGTTTGGCCGCTGAAACAGCACCACAGACGGACGGACTTGTAGATAAGAGATTTTGCACGAATTGCTTTAATTATCAGTATAAAAGTACTATAATGTATGTGGTAGAATACAATATTTTTTTATTGCGCTATCGTACACAAACATGACAATTTATATTACATTAAAAAAGTTTATCTCTCAGAAAAATCAACTTATATGAACCACGTTTAAGCGCACATAGCGACATCTATTTTTCGGTGACTTCCACAATCATCCAAAGGGAAAACCTGGACATTAATAGGCTGATAATGACATTAAAACTTACCTAGCAACTGGTACAGATAACCAGATATCATATCCCAGCTCTGTCCAGACTCGTCTCCAGCCAGGAATCCTGCTAGAAAGCCCTGAGAAGTGATGACGTTGATTTTGTCGATGGCTTCCAGGATTAGGTTCAAGATTCCTTCTTCCTGGAATAAGTCTTGACGGTTGCGGAGGGCGCGGAACTTGTTCTGTTTCTCTTCGTGTTCTGAAAGGGAGATGAGAGGTTAAAATCCTGGATTTTGAAGTTAAGGCCACAACATTCAGAGAGGTCAAAAGTTAATGAATCATTTGTGCACTTTTTGCTTTCTTCTATTGTTATCGTAAAGGAAATTGTCTTACATACCTCACACACACACGAGAGCGAGAGGGGGGGGGGGGGGGGGGGGAGAGAGGGAGACGTCAACTAATTCTTTAATTTAGCAGATTATCTGCATTTAATGACAATATTATGACGAAGACGATTGTTGTAACGATTTCGACTTGATTTGTGCGATTTTTCTTTCGACCTAGATTCCAACAAGGCCCAAGAGTATAAGTGCCCTGTTGTAAGGGCACTTATACTCTTGAGCACCCGAAACAGAAATATAAAAAAGGTAATTAAAGCTACATACCCATATCCTCGTCAGGTTGTGCGAAGTAGTTGATGAGATCTTCGAGGCACATCACCATTTCTCCAAGATTAACGGAAGCGAAGAACATAGAGTGACGCCTATTCTCTTGTAACGTCTCCAGACCACTGTTGGGTTAAATGTTATTTTAAAATAATTTCGCGCACTCGGAGGCGTCAATTTAATTAAATGCTACGAAGCATTTTTGACCAGTTTCAAAAATGTATATCCAGTTAAAGATAAACTTGTTCTGGTGAAGTACCTTAATAGTAAAAGTTGTTATTTTTAGCCGACCAACAAAAAACATCAAGGCAAATTAGCTCTAATAAGCTTATCTATTTTCGGAGATTGTTTTATTGTAACTAGTCGAAAGTAACATGCTGTCACATTCTATTATTACTGCAAAGAATGTGACAGTATCAACTTTAGTTTTTTTTTGAGTGTGTATGCTGTTGGTCGCAGATGACCTTTACAGCGTCGCCGGGTTTGGGGACGGCGAGATCCTAAAGGGACCTCAAGCCGAGAATTGGCGAGTGCCTCTAGAGGTATTCCAGGCGGATGGCGTCTCCCCACGGGGGGAGTCTCCTCTCCGTCTGGAGCCTCTAGACCACTCGAACCTGAGGGGGTCGGTTCAACTAGAGGGCGTCTCTGAGACTCGGACCTCGGCTTTAGTTAGCCGTTGTCGTGGGGGGCGGGGAAAAACGCCCAGGTACGTACCTGCACCTGGTATAGCGTGTCGTGTGTAGACCGGGTCTTCGCACTCTTATCCTACGGGTCAACTTTAGTGAAACTTAAATGTTCATTAACATTTCTAGATGCTGCCGCTACTAATTAACATAAACTACTCTTTATCCTATTGGCCAAACCTCAACTCTTTCAGGTTCGAAAGATATTGAGGTTCTTCTGATATATTATAAAGGCGATATATTATGCCATTCGTAATGCTTCTAGAAGTCACTTCATAAACTTGTTGAATAGTGAGGAGCACTTTCTGATGACCCTGGCTTGAGAAGTCCAAGTGTCGCCGCACACGGGCCACACGGGCTGAAGCGCGCGACAGCGGCCGACTAAGGTAACGGAGAGAGGGGTGGGGAATCGCGCGAGGACGAGTGGCGGCGTTTTGTATCGGCTCATTAAGTGGCCGGTGCGGGCCACAAGAAGCGAGCAACGACGATTTGTAGCGTGTGGCGGCCACCGGCGTACCGTGTGTGGCGAGTCCATATAAAATGTATGAAAACTACAAGAAATATGCCGGTAGCGGCGTTTTGTGGTTGTGGTCGGTGGCCCGTATGCGGCGACGCTAAAGCATCGTCCGTCTCGTCCATCTTGAATATAGCTTAATTTCCTTTCTATACAGCGTATATGTATGCGCCATTATGGCGCATTTATACTTAGTCGCGAATACGAATGCAAATGAAATTCGGGTAAACGACTAAGTGTAAATGAACGCAGTCGAGTGCGTTCGTTTTCGGGTTGATTTCTGACACTGTCTTCTAGCCCATATTCCAGTGTAAATATTGCTACAGGTGCCCGAATACGAGTAATGTCTTTCATTAGGGCTGCTTTCCCGGATTTGTCCTAGTTTACGCGGCGTCCGGGGAGCGTCCGGGCGGGGTTTTATTTGTAGTCCGGGTTTAAAAATTTACGGCAACGCATAAATGGCCCTTGGTGCTGCAAGTGTGCATGGGCAGCAGTGACCGCTTATTATGAGGTAGACCGCTAGCTCTTTTGCCTAGATCAACATCAACAACAAAAAAGTTGATTTGTGATATTTTAACTGATTTTTATTGGTCTGTCCGGGTTCTGGGCTCCAATATCCGGGGTTATCACGCGTCTTATCCTGGTTGCAACATTTTAGAGATGGCAGCCCTATCTTTCATGCACCCGAATGAGGGCTAACAACCAAATCTAATTGCAGTATAATGCTTGATTATCTCAATTCAATTTGCAATTCATTCATTTATTTGCATCACAAATTAATACAATTAATAATAAGCAGACATAAATGATTATAAGTTTAACAGTTCTTAAATAACTAGTATGAACTACAATCATTAGTGAGTGACAGTGATGCAAATAGGCAGAAGCTCAGCAGTGTTTTCGTCTTAATAGACAAAATGCTGATTTTCAGCAATTGTCCGTAGTAAGCGCGAGGATGTAGGTACGCTACAAATCTCTTACTTTAGACCTAAAGGACACCCGGCATTTTGTGCCAAAGTTGTATACTTTTTTAATTTTTTTATCTGTGTTTCATAATTGGGTAACGTAGTCTGGCAATATTTGTCATCAGCAGCTAGCTGTCAATGTCAAATACGTAGGTTTGTCATCAAAAGGGTTTCTATATCAAAAAATATTAATTATAAATAACTTCTTTCCACGATTCACTAAAAATAAGGCAAAAGTAGTTTTATGTAGCAAATAATTTTGGCTTTATTTTGAGACCAAATTCAACTGTATACAAGTTTAGCATTTTTTCTATGAAAAGTGCCGGGTCTCCTTTGTATAATAACTCACTTGATGAACTTGGTGAACAGTGAGGAACACTTCCTAATGACCCTGGCGGTGCGCGACTCCTCCTCTTGAGAACGGGAGAAGTCCAATCCGTCGTCCATCTTGCCTTCCTCGTGGAGGATGGCTTGTTTCTCTTCCACTTTACCCACGCCTTTCTTCTTCGTCTCGTAAGACTGGATAAAAGATAGAGCAATTTTCTTAGGGTATTTGACAGTGTTAAAAATAAAGTGCCAAATGTTCTATATAATATCTATTGTCACGTGACTCAAAACGCTTGGGATTGGCGGAGCCTAAAATGACGTCACACGCTAGTAAACTTCCGGTTACAGTGACATTACATTGTATCGTTTGACGTGTTAATAACGTCACACACTAGTAAGACGCCACATTGCCCAGAGAAACGTTTTCGCGGCAACTTGAAAATGGAGTTTTTGATTTGGTTATTTTTACTGAAATACACAACAGAATGATGAATATCCACTTTCTACGGACTCCATAAACATTAGTCAATAACGTGAGATCGTTTTCTAAAACTTGTCAAATACACTTTTTAGTGGGTGGGTGTTTAGTGGGTGTGTGACCCAGAAAAAATGGTTAACTCAAAGTCTTCTAGGTAATCATCACTTATTATTGACTAGTAATCATCACTTATTATTGACTAGCAGTCGTTTCATTTGCCTTTGACTCAAAAGTATGATATAACTTGCATATTATATTATGTGAAAATTCATGAAGGTCTAGCTAAACTATCATAAAAACCATGTATTGCGCAGTATAATGATTTTAAATTTCTCTAGTCCCAATCCTGAACCTAAAACCAGACATAGTCAGGGTCAACCGACACGTTTAAATTAATAAGTACATGGGCCTTCGAGCCGGATAGAAATCATTGACCATACGACTGAAGTGAAACTTCTTTAGTTCCATCATTAAATAAATGTATGTACATATACATATTTCATTTATTAGATATAAGAGAAAGAGAGAAAGAAAATGTGCGCGTGCACTGCTTTCTCTTGCTTATATCCCCCACTCAACTCCCTTTCGCCTCGCCCGCATTACACTTTTCGTAACGCGTTCGCCAGTTTACTACCCAAGTCAAGCGTACGTAAAGAAGTTTCACTTCAAAAATATACTGTACGTAATCAATCACCTTATAAGACAACCACAAGCCGGTCTCAGAATGTTGCACTATGACGGTGGAGTCGCCATATTTGATGATCGGCGCGCCGATCACTTCCAAGTCCTTGTCTTCTAATACCACCTTCTGGTCATCTTTCTCTTGGCGAAGACAGAATGCGCAAGATGCTGTAGTAGCTTCTTCTCTAGAAAAGGGAAAGGAGCACACTGAAAAGTTAGCTCTTGAAAATTGGCGAATAAAAACCATTATTCTATTAAACGCATGGCAACACGCGAGAGATATTTTTTGTTTTGCAACAATCTAAAGATGAGAATCTTGTAGACGTTTATAATCTGACTTTTACATAATAAGATAAAAAACAAAAGCGCTGTCGCAAAAATGATGATGTAAAAAAAACACAAAATCAAATGTTTTTTCTGACAGGCAGAGCTACAGAATAGATATCTCCTTTTCAGTTTATGAAAGGTGATAATTATTTCAATCAGGGTTCTTATTACAGAATACAGAAAGAGGTTAGTAGGGCAATGTGGGCAGGGCAGGCGCGCACCAGTTATGTGTGAGCAAATGCTCATAACTTGACCAAAACTTGGTTCTGATTGCGTCGTTGCTCTCGGGTGTGAGTGCCGATTGGTTCGTTTGTTTGATGTCACGTTCTTTGATTGGCTATTATCTATTAGGTGGAAGTGTAGTGGGGGCGAGCCGGCGACATTCTACCTCTTTCTGTGTTCTGTGATTGTAATAACAACGGTTGCTAAGAAATGGAACCCAGATTCTCCTTATATTTTACTGGAGATTCATTAAAGAAACTGGAAGTGAGAGGGTTACAACCTTGACGTCATTTCAGGTGGTAACCAGCCATAAAAACAACAGCTACAAAACTTTTCTTCTGTATCTATTAATGAAGTACAAATAATAGAAGAAGCGACCGCACCTAAATGGGATAAGGCAAAGGACAAAGAGAGTAGAAATATTTTGGTCATTGAAGTCAAGGTAAAAACTATGTAAATGACTATTTTTCAATATCCATATTTTTAAAGAAGATAAAGTACTTTAATGTTGCTAAATAAATACTTTAATGCTTCTTATAGTTGATCAGATAGAGGTCATCCTAGTAGTTGATGGCAAGGTAAAAGTTCGTAGTGATGTCTATTTTCAACTTGTTTTTACACAACGTAAGTACAAAATCTATAAAGAAACAAATCTCTGGTGTCCAGATATAGTTTGTTCTGATCATTTACGGCGAGGTAGCGGTCCTTAGTGATGTCTATTTTTCAATATCCTTCATTATTAAATAATTTAAATAATCAAATATTGCTTAATAAATAAATGTCGCATATACCTGGTGACCAGATATAGGTCATTCTGGTCGTTGACGGCGAGGTAGCGGCCCGTGGTGATGTGCCGGATCCTCATGGGATGGTACCAGTTGATGAACCCGCCAGCCCATTTAGTGCGGGCTAATTCGAGACGCCATAAGGAACGAGCTTGAGACATCACCGAACCACCTTCGTAGACTACGATACTGTATATAAAATAATATACATAAGTCTAAATAAATTATTGATATTTTAGGGATAAAAAAAACTATTATTACGCTATTTTACATGAAAAAGAATGATGTAATATTTGATAATTCTTACTGGTTACATCAGAGTAAGCGGGCGCAATAAATGCAGTTCTGCCCAATAAAAGTGTAAAAAAGTCAGAAATTTATTAAATTCAGATCCTTTAAACAATTAAAAACAGCCTGATCTGTATTAACTTGGTTTAGGAAGCAAAATATCCATTACATTAAACATTGCTATCAGTCAAATTCTAAATATTAATTCAAACAGCAATTAATGCAACTGCCTTAATATCCAATTAGTACAGCCAGTCAGAGTTTAAGTTAGATTTATCCATACGACTTTGAGCTGTATATTGCATGCAGCTTGACATTGATAATTTGTTAAAAACATCTGACAGTTTGTTAGCTGGATGTGTGACTATCTGTACATAAGGTGTTAAATAAATTTAATAAAACAGGAAGGTAAAGAAAAGTTTTACTAGAAAAAAAAATCCACGCGGACCAGGCAGCGGACGGGACTCGAACCTGCACCCTTCGCAATCCGGGCGAATGCACTGAACAATTATGCTACCACGGCCCTGATGGCCGCGTCGAAATTTTCCTAGCCTTAAGCTGCAAGGCAGCGCCATCTCTTCGCATTGTAGGCAACCCACAATTAAACCAAAATTAAAATAAACCCCAAAACAGAAATGCTAAAATACTCACTTTTGAGTCCCCTCTCGCGCCCACGTACTAGGTATAGTGAGACACTCGTCTCCGCCATGAAAGAACCTCAGCACGTCCCCCCCGAACACGTAACCGACGTACTTGACGCGCGATATGCCCGTGCCGTACGGCTGCACCGACCAGTGCGTCACGTGAAACGACGCGTTCACTATGGACACCTCGTTCTCTTTCGTCGTGTGCTATAGATGTAGAGAGAGAGGGAGATAGTGTGAATGTCTGCCCATTTGTCAGTAACTTTAAGACGCGTTACCAAAGCGACAGCTAATACTTTGACTCTAACTAAATAATTACTAAAGACGCTTGCACTACCAGGGCATCAACTGGTACTTTTACCCTAAGTATATCGTTATAATAATACTAGAGACGTTTGCGATACTAGAGTATCGACTAGAGCTTTTAGCCAAAATAAAATCAAGTCAGTTCAATCAGTTCGTGTATTTATTTAAGGTTGTTACAAGCACTTATGAATGTCAAAAACTACGCCATCGGTTCACAAAACTACTGCACAACGCCTTGTACTGAGAAGAGGTAACAAGAAATTCAGCAAAATGTACAACGGTTTAACTGTCTCTACAATCATTCTAACAGCTCCAAAGAAAGTTGTCCTATGTTGAAATATAAATCTAACTGTTTATTAATGTTTATTTTAAACATTTAACTGCTAGATGTTAATAGATAAATCTAACAGTTTTATGCCTGAATCAAAATATGCACAAATACTTAATTTCATAGGTACAACTATTCATGTTAACTTTTTTATGAAGTGTAAGGGGGCTGTAGTTGTAGCAGATAACCTTCCTCACCACAGGAACGCAATTTGGTTAAATCTGCACACTAAACTTATATCGTAAACACCTTATTTTGCCCAGTAACAACTTATTATACTTAACTAAGACAGATATTATATTTTCCTTACTACTTAAGAAATAAAATTAACTTACCAAATATCTTTCCGTAGCGACAGACACCAAAATTAAATCATCACCAACACGGACCTTTTCACCCTCAGACCTGTTCAAATGAAAGACATAATTTATTTTAAACGTTCTTAAAGAATCCAGCTTTCATAAATATTTAATGGTACCTTTGAAAAACTCTATGGTGCAATGGTAAGACAAATCAGTCTACGATCGTCGAAGTAAACAAATTTTGCAATGGCCGGTAATAAGATGAATGACAAAAAAAATACTATTCCTTACTATTCCGCACTTCGGAAGGCACGTCAAGCTGTTGGTCCCGGCTGCATCTGCAGTCGTTAGCATCCATTAGGTTATGGCTCAATTTACCTATGGCATCCGTTGAGAAGGCGTGTGTCCCAGCAATGGGGACATTAATACGCTGATGATGCTTTTTACCTTTGTTTACTAGCTGGATGTAAAGTCCACCAGCAAGCTTCTCCTTGTGAGTGTTCTTGAAGACCGACGTCAAACGCCAATTTGTCTTGAGATGATGACGTAGACAGACATGCCAGATACTATCAACAAGAAAAAAAGTGATCACAGTTTATGAAAAAATGCAAAGATAAGTGATGCAGAAGATAACTCCAATTTTCCTAGATTTAGAAGAATAAAGATTAAATTATGGTTAATAAAGAATATGTGTGTAGAATAAAGATTAAAGAAAGAAAGTTATGGTCCTTCATGCTCCTATTAGTTTGTCATGTAATAGGAACATGAAGTGTCTGTATTTCATAACATAAATTAAGATAAATACGTACTACATCATTACCAAAATATAAATACCTGATCACTCTATGTATTTTAACATTTCAAAAATAAATCAAAGAACTTACCATATCACTGTTCAAATGTCTCAATAAAATGGCGTTGCCGTAAAGCAAAGTCCTGTGTCCAGAACCAGTGCCTTTACCCTGCAACAGACGAAACGATGGAATATATCTCTTATATCTAATTCGCCAGAGTGTATACTTGTTTGTTATTGGCTTTATTTATTTTAATGGTTGTATAAGAAAGAGTAATATATGAAAACAAATAACCGATTAAAATAATTTAACCTTCATGTAAAAAAAATATCTTGCAGAAAAAATATATAAATGTATCAAAAAATAGAAAAGATTAATACAAATAATCAAGTTGAGTACTTACCTATGATGTTAATAATTAAATCGGAAAATTTAAATTTTCAATTATTTTTCTTAATAATGTGAAGTAATTAAATGCAAAGCAAACCATGTAAGTATTAACAAAGAAAATTATGAAGCAAGGACACAAAATAAAAAATACAAATGAATATTGGACAATATAAATATGAAAGTAGATTATAAATTGTATATGAAACAAAAATATTTTAAATTGACAAACTTTCATTTAGATCATTTTCTATGGATGTGGAGAAAACGTAAACAAAAAATGCAAAATTTTATTTACATCCATTAAAATGGTAAATCATGCATTAAAACAAACGTGGTTTAAACAAAATTAGTAAACAGAAGGGCGCGCAGTAGATTGTGCTAAAACAGTAGGTTGTGTGTGTTATATGCAAATTTTATACTGTATGACACAGCGATCAAAATGTGGGTGAACAATATTGAATTTGAATTATGTTTCTAAATCATTGTATAGGTAGCGACATGAAATGAAATTTATTTATTCACACAAAACAGAGTAGATACATTTTGGTGTGATTTTCATTTAGTTCGTCCATTTTGCCAACGACAGGGATGTGAATGTCAAACGTAATTTAATTCTAAAATTTAAAGGTACTTATGTCATTTTACTTATTCTATTCTAAGTCAATTTTCGTTTCTAAATATTCTCTAACTGAGTAAAAACATTTCGTTATTAGCCATATTTTAAGCTTCCTTTTAAATATAGGCAAACTAAGCTCCGTTATCAAGCGTGATAACTTATTATAGATTTTTATACGATTCGGATAGCAGTTTTTATTGTAATATTGAGTACGCATATTGGGCAACATCAAGCACACACTAATACTAATGCATGATTTTGTGTTAATGTTGCTACTTTGGTTAAACCCTGTTGATTTTTATGCGCTATTGTCATAATTGCCATCAGCTAGAAGATGTCCTGATGTCCTGTGTCCCCATGGGTAGTAGGAAAAAATACTGGGCGATTTAAAGGAGCTTTCAATAAGTAAATTTGAATAAAGTACAATTTCATTTCATTTACTACCTACCTACCTAATAGGTTAGGTAAAAAAAAACAGGTCAGATCTACCCTTTGAAAGCGAGTGTAAGATGACTGAAAATTTTTGAATTTTATCTTGCAGATCTGTGTATTTAAAAGATTATACCTATTTCCCTCAGTCGCGCCAAAACATAGATTTAACTACCCTATCATATTCATAAAGGCTATACAAAAAATAATCTTTTATATATATATATATAATAATAATTTTATTTCCAATTTAAAAAATATGTAATAACTCCTAGTATTAGTGTGCGATGAATTAAAAAGTTGTAATGTAAATGTAATCGCTTGAGTGACGTGTGGCGGCGGGCGTTTTGTATCGGCGCATTAAGTGGCCGCCGGTGCGGGCCACAAGAAGCGAGCAACGACGATTTGTAGTGTGTGGCGGCCACCGGCGTACCGTGTGTGGCGAGTCCATATAAAATGTATGAAAACTACAAGAAATATGCCGGTGGCGGCGTTTTGTGGTTGTGGTCGGTGGCCCGTGTGCGGGGACACTTAGTAACAAGGTAAGAATATATTGTATGTTTATTTAGTAACAACTGTCTTTTGGATACAAGGATGAGTATTTGGATTGTGTTTTTATACAAATACTAGCTGTACCCTGCCACGCTACGCAGTGGCACATTGTGATTGAATGGTTGAGAAATGAGAAACAAAACAAAGAATACATTTCACATAAGTTTAATTTTGCAATAACAAATATTTTTGTAAATAAACAATGTAATTGGGAACGAAATTGTATCTCATGTGACTGCGTCATTAGCTGTTGCGGTTGTCAGCGAGTGTTTTCCTCGCTTCTGGCAGATGGCGCGGTCACTGGTCCACAGCTGATCGTTAAAAAAACTGTTTTCTAGCGGTCGCAGATATGTGACTGATGCAAAAAATAGATAAAAACAATCCTTGATGCGGATTTTATATCATGTTAAAATTTAAACGCAATCGGTGCAGAACTTTTTGTGTTTTTGAAGCGTACACAAACCAACATAAAATTTATATATATGTATAGATATGTGTGAGCTATGTAATTGAGGTTTCAGTCTGCAGGATGGATAGGACATATGTGTACATGAATGTTGTGTATTACTAACAATCTTGATAAAGTTTATGCGAGCTTAAGTGTATGTTGTGTGAGTTACAAGATAAGTTATGGTAAATAATTGTGTATATAATCGTGTATGAATTGTATGGAGGTTTCCATGATTTGAAATTGAATTTCTGTGTTATTAATGAGTGTGGATGTTTTATTGGCCTCAGCAATTTATTTTATTATTTATTATATTACTGTATTAGAGCCATCTTTTATGAAATGAACAAATAGTTAACAATATTCAATCCTGTCGATAACATAATATTTTTACTGCTGTGCATGAGGCGCTTTTTAACATAAGAAATATGTTCTTTATAGAACTAATCCTACTATCAATATGATTTACTATAACGGTTGAATTAACTTAACTAGTCAATGGCAGACATATCGGTCTACCCTCTGACGTCGTCTTTTAATGCGCTGATACCCCTACCACTGGTCACATTCTCACTATTCACTCGCACTTGATCCCTACATACAATACTCACAGTATCAGATCGCGGAACGACACTTTTTTGATTTGAAATTTGATTTGAAACACAAGAATTTCAATCGTGAGGATGGGTTTAAATTGTCAAATGTCTGGAATCCAGTGGTTCGTATGTGTAAAAACCGCAAAAATCAAAAAAGTGTCGTTCCGCAATCTGATACTGTGAGTATTGTGTGTAGGGAACAAGTGCGAGTGAATAGTGAGAATGTGACCAGTGGTAAGGGTATCAGCGCAGTAAAAGACGACGTCAGAGGGTAGACCGATATGCCTGCCAATAACATCTACCCGCGATTACTTCAGTTACTCCGTGATCATGGCGCTTGCAACAGTGCCGAAATATCGGAGACTCATAAAAAACAAGGTACATGGTAACAATCCCGTTAATAGCTATAATGTTAGTGACCATGAAAGTTTTAAACAATTTAACTAGTCAATTTTGGTTAAACAAGTCTTATAGTTGAGTGGTAAATGGTTTCAGGTAGTGTTTATAGATATGATTTAATTTCGGATATTCCTTCTACATAAGTAAGCTCAGTCGCATTTTATTATTTTTGTGTGTTTTTGTTGTATCTGCGATATGTGATAATATAATAGCTGGTAAAACTGTACTTCCAGGGCCCAAAAGGTGATACTTGTTTTTTTTTTGTAGAAAAGGTCTTTTTAACAGATTTTTTTTTCTGGCGCTTCGCCGGCCGCTGCCGCGGCACGCTCGCTTTGCTCGCTCGGCTCGCGCGTTATGGTCACAACACTAACCTAACCTAACCAGTGTGAAGTATCACCACTTGATAAGAAAAGTAAAAATTTTCAATATTTTTTTCTAAAAAACTACCAGTGCATAAGGGTGACATTTTTTTAATAATGTGGTTAACAGAAACCTTTTTAACAACAAAAATGCGAAATTACAACCAACAAAACTGAAATTTTTACTTTTGGGCCCTGGAAGTACAGTATATCCTAATAGCTATTTATCCAAGTTAAGAATATCTTCAAAATGTAGTTTGTCCAATATTTATTGAATTTTGTCGCGAGTGTGTGAGTAGAGTCTGTGCGGAAAGAGAATGGGCGTGGCGAAAAACTGAACTAACATTAAGATTTTTATTTGGCAATCAAACCCAAGTTTTGTATTGATACGGATTTCTTTGTTGTTGTGATTCTTGCAGTTTTTTGTATTTAATCATGTCTAAAAGGGGTAAAACATTACAAATACGGTAGTAAAGCACTACAGCGCCCTCCAATCTAAATCCCATTACCTTTCCGCACAGACTCTAATAGGTGTGCGATCGCATTACTGGTTAGGCACATATCCACTGTGGTTAAAACATAGAAAAGTTAATAGAGTACGAAAAATGACCAAAAAGTATGCCAATTTATGAAAATAAAAATTTAGTTTCAAAAAACTGGTTTTGTCATGCAGTTTTCTTTTACCGAATCCCAAGAATACTCACTAAATTTTCTTTGCCCTGGAAAATTAAGCAATCCTTCAGGGTGCCATTATTATTCACAAAAGGAAGTTTATATTTGAACTGTTATATATTAACCACTGAGTAACGTGTGGACAGAAACATTAAGATTTGACCTTTGAAATCTTTAGCGGCAAAACTAATAGTAAAAACTGGAAAGTTTGCTACGAAACTTTTTTCTTTTTTTGGTAAAATATTCTTTTGAAATGTTTAGTTCCTTTGAGTTCCTTTGATTGATTTTACTATTGGCGTATTTGCGATTTTATCATATTAATATAATGGAGAAAGTAAAATTTCATAAAAAATCACAGTTTCAACCAAAGGAGATTGCTCAAATTTAGGCTTAAATATTATAGATGGTAGGCGACATCATAAAGTATATTGCCATACATTTTTCGACAAACACCTCCATAAACACATTATAAGGTGTGATGCACTAAAAATCTAAAATATGGTTATAGTATAAACATAACAAAAATAATAAGATTTCTTTGGTTAACGAGAGTTTAAAAAATCTCTCTAATCTGTGGCTCATTCACAAATAACACAAAGTTTCTGTCACAGAGTACCTTATTATAACCGGAAATCATTGATGATACCTGATTTTAAAAGTTACTATTAAGCATTCACTTAAAAAACAGGCAACTATCTATTAATCTACATCCTTTATATACCTGAATCTAATACATAATTTCGGTACTTGGTTTGATTTCCCTAGTTTACTATATAACTTATTTGTTTTTTATTATTTCAATACCTATATACCTATTTGCCAACATAACCTCAAAATCTTACAGTGTATATGGTATATAGAAGTTCATATTCGTTTCTACAGTAATTTATATGTAATTTCGAATCTAGGAAACAATTTTTCATCATTATTGGTCTTAAGGCCAAACATGTATGAAAGCTGAGCAATCTCCTTTCCTTTTAAATGATTACAATATTGGTTGGTCGAATTCTCATACAATCTCTTAAGCTGCGTACGGACAGCTGGTGCCAGGGAACGCGTAGCCGATAACGCGTGACCAGAAGCCCAAGCACGAAATTTGGCAGCTCTGTAAACTTATCATCAGTGCAAATTTTGTACGGACGGAGTCAATTTGTTCGTTAACCTAGAAGGAAATTAGGATTCTTTGCTTAATTTTCAAAGAAACTTTGTCAATGCAATAAGATTAAGGACCTAACCTTGGGCCTCTGAATGCGCTATCCATGTTCATAGCAACTCGTAGAGGGTACGGGTAGCCACAAGTATATATATGGCGATCCATGGCACGCGTAGACTGCATCAACCCCCTCTCAGGGGATGAGCGTTTCAGATGAAGCTTAGAAAGTCCTTCCAGCCATAAGCATGAACTACAGGTGTGTTTTAGTCAGTAGGATTCTGAAATAACCTTGCAGCCGGCTGTAGGGTATCCATGATGAGTGCGAAATACCTCGGCTCACCGGGAAACCTTCAAGAGGTAGTCTCCAATGTGTAGGCCCTGGGGACCTTCCTGGTGGAGCTGGGCTGGCTGGAGTGATTCCGGCCGTACACCCTCCCCACGCAAAACAGGCGCCATAAGGACGTCGAGTTGCGGAAACACCCGTAGCAAGAAGAAGAGAATAAGAAGGGTATCCATGAGAACTTCACACGCGCTCCCCCGCCTGGGAGGAATCAAAAAAATAAGGTTTTGTTCGGAGCGCAGAGATTGATGCATTCATTGACACGTTTGCTAGCGTCTAGTGAGTCAAGTTATACATTTTGTAGTTGTGTACTGACACACTTAAATTTACGTGAGATCGTTTTCGAAATGTTCTCAAATACGGGAATACCCTATTCAACCCCAGCTTTAACTGTGAGGATACGTGTGCGCTATCCGCACGCAGCTCTAGAACCCTCTTCTAAAGAAACAATCAAAGAACATCTAGGTTCTTATCCAATATAAAAATAAATAAATAAAAAGTTTCGCCGCAAACTGACATTTAAAAGACATATATAAATATTGCGTTTAGTTATGTCGAAGATTATTCATAGGTGAACAAGATATTGGACAGGTGTAATAAGTTAATACTTTGAGGTAACATATAACTGAATATACATATATATGTTGATAAGGATGATAAGGATGATATTTCAACGTACAGTTTCCGATCCGGCAGCCGTGACGAGCTCCTGAAGTGCGCGCACTGACAGAGCCTGAAACAAAACACAACATATAAGTATATCTCCGAACAAATAACTCCATGCTACCTGATTTAAGTAACGGTGGAGTCAAGACGCGAAGATAGCTGGTGCTGGCGGTTTAGATGCTACACAAGCCATCCTCACCTTGTCGGTCTGCAAGTTGCTTCTTCACGTATCTTTTAAAGGATCCTGGGTTGCAGGGGGTAGAGAACATGTGAGCGGACAAAGCCTTCCATTTGCAGATAGTGCGACAAAGAAATTAGTCACCAAATCTCTTAGTTTGCGTTGGAATAGTGGCCACAGTAAGTCGGTGACAATGTAGGCCAGGGTGCTTTGATAAGGGAGACTGACTCCTCAGAACAGATGCCATGGTGTAGAGAATAGAAACCCTCGGTCGCCAGTATTGTTATCCTAAGAGGTTTTCTGCAGCAGCACATTATTCTATCTTCTATCTCAATAGCTCTGAACTCACCTGTTCGATGACGAAGACGCATTGCGACAGGTCCGGCGGTATGTTCTTATCGGCGATGTTTTCCAGGAAACAGTGGCGGTTTCCGAAACCCTCGGCCGCCAGGCACACCCTCTCGCCGGTGGCGGTGCACGAGAGGCACACCATGTCTTCCTGGAAACCAATATTATAACAATTAAACATAATTATTAATCAAAGGAGGAGGAGGAGGAGCTCGATGGCGCAGGTGGTTAGGACGTTCGGCTGCGATCTTTGAATTTAAGCAACTTTCGCAGTGGTCGGTCATTGGATGGGTGACCAAAAATCTTCTATCTCAAGTTCTTCCGTACTTTGGAAGGCACGTTAAGCCGTTTGTCCCGGCTGCATCTGGAGTCGTTAGCACCCGCCCGGGAAGGCCTATGCCCCAGCAGTTTCCCCAACATTAATAGGCTGAAGGTAAGAAGCGGCTACTAAAGTGGCTGAGGCGCGCGACAGCGGCCGACTAGGTAAGTATGGGAGAGAGGGGTGGGGAATTGCGCGAGTGACGTGTGGCTGCGTTTTGTATCGGCGCATTAAGTGGCCGGTGCGGGCCACGAGAAGCGAGCAACGACGATTTGTAGCGTGTGGCGGCCACCGGCGTACCGTGTGTGGTGGCGGCGTTTTGTGGTTGTGGTCGGTGGACCATGTGCGGCGACACTTAGAGTTCGCCGTCATTATACACTGGACTGCGAACCTGAGTATCACACTGTTAAAATTGCAATAACTTTTAATTATACCAAATATATTTTCGAAAAAAAAGACTCGAAAAAGCGTTTATTTTTAGAACAAAAAGTTTCGAAGAAAGCTGATAAAAATTGCTATAAAACGATTTTTATTTTTAAATTTGTAACTTCTATAGTTAAGAACAAATTGAATTTTAAAAGTGCGATGCTTTGTTTTGCAGGCCAGTGTATTTTATTGAGTAATTACCTAATAATTAGATATTTTTTATTCAACGATTCGTTGTCCTGTTGATGGAACGAAGATACAATGTATGTGTCTTGGGAGTTAGCCATTTCTACATGCTCTCCTACCTCAAATATTCAAGAGTTCACTCCGTTTTGCGTATTCTCTCGAGATCAAGCCATGTAACTAGGTACTACATCAATTTAACGTGAGAAAGACACTTTATAGAGGAATTTTACGCTTAACAATAAAATCTGATTTTAAAAAAAACGACGGGTTGCACTCCGGGAGTGCCGGCAGAAGTGAAAACTTGAATATTAACGTTGTGCATTTTTGATATTTTGGAATGGTTAGGGAATAATTTTGCACGAATTGCTTTAATTATCAGTATAAAAGTACTATCATGTATGTGGTAGAATACAATATTTATTTATTGCGCTATCGTACACAAATATGACAATTTATATTACATTAAAAAAGTTTATCTCTCAGAAAAATCAACTTACATGAATCACGTTTAAGCGCACTTAGCGACATCTATTGTAAAAAAATGCATTTTCTTCGCAATAAAGCTGCCACGTGGAAATCCTAGATAGAGATTTATTATTATAATACGGTAAAATAAAGTATTACTATGTTTCGTCCAATATATTGAAAGTCAACAACCTTTCCAATTGTTGTGTGTTATGATGTGATCAGCCCACGTGTTTAACCTGACGCGAGTTTAACATTTTTTACCCATACAAAAAAAAGTGTACAACGCCACTAAAGAAGTTTTCACTTCAAAATCTTGCGGGATTGTTTGGAATCCTTCTTAATATGAGGCTGACTAGTACTTAGTCGTTTTTTTCTGTAATTTCAAGTTATTTGGTACTTGGGTAGTATTTAGATTAGAAAGACAATGTAAGGAGACCAAATACTTTGTTACTAGTTGTGCCCCGCGGTATTACCCGTGGTCTTACAGGGATATTTTCCCGCAGTAAAACGTAACGTATGTGTTAATCCAGGGTGTCAGCTAACTCCATACCAAATTTTATTAAAATCGCTCCAGCCGTTTAGACGTGAAGAAGTAACAAACATACACACTCACACACTCACAAACTTTCACCTTTATAATATTTGAGTGATGAGTGATGTGATTCTCAGCCTATTTATTTATTTTGGATGCTCAAAGCTGATACACGAGTAAGTATTGCATACAATTAACTGTAGTGACGGAATTCTGGTCGGGAAAATTGATAAAAAGTTAACACTTTCTTTTCATACTTAACTAGCTTCTATAAAAGCCTTCCGCCTATTTATGAGCCTCCGAAACCATTTCAAACGATGACATTTTTTATCGTTTAGGGTTGCTTTACTAATAAATTACGTGAAAAATTAATGACGCCTGTGAGTTGAGCAAGATTTAGAGCCTGTTTTACAATCTCTGAGTAAAGTTCTAAGTAAGCTACTTCGAACTTATCTGATCAGCAAACAATTCTTTACGTTTCACAATCTCTGAGTAGGTACTTAATCACCACTTTATCTGCTCATTAAATTAATCATCGGATGCACTGCCAAGTAGTAGATATGAAAATAATATTAAAATAAATAATAAATAATGATCGTTAATTTAAAGTAAAATTAATGACCCCTCGTTAAGCTGAGAGGCTCGACTGTCTTATTTTTCCTACAAGGGGTGGGTGGGAGCTTTGATAGTTCAAAATCTACTAATAATCGTCTTACGCAAGAAATGAATGATACTACATTAATGTATACTAGCAAACCAGTGAACCAAATGTTCACCAAAAAAAAAAGTATTCAATTAATTGAGAACTTCGGAGATTTTGTGTGGTTTCGTTTGAAATAGAAATCACGTGATTTCTCGAAAACCGGAAGTGCTACGTTACTCACATCCGGTTTGTAGTCTTATCAGACTATTCTTAACTTATAACTTAAACATTCTCTTTATCTATCTCTTACGGTTTGGCCGCTGAAACAGCACCACGGACGGACGGACGGACGGACTTGTCTAATAGATAAGAGATTATATTGCAACTGTTCGGTGCAATAACAGAACATTAATATTTTGCATCTCTTATCTATTAGACAAGTCCGTCCGTCCGTCCGTCTGTGGTGCTGTTTCAGCGGCCAAACCGTAAGAGATAGATAAAGAGAATGTTTAAGTTATAAGTTAAGAATAGTCTGATAAGACTACAAACCGGATTTGAGTAACGTAGCACTTCCGGTGTTTAAGAAATCACGAATTTCAAACGAAACCACACAAAATCTCCGAAATTCTCATGTAATTAAATACATTTTTTTTAAATCAGGTTTTGGTGAACATTTGTTTTACTGGTTTGCTAGTATTTGCAATAATTGACACTGTCACGGCGCCTGGCCTGATTTAGGTCATTAGCCGCGGTGCACAGCAAAAATATAAATAAGTGTAGATTTTGACGCCTATACGGTTGCACTCATTACAATAATAACATTTTTATAGTTTTTGTAAGAACATTTGTGAACAAGCAATAAACACGTATTTTTCGGTAACAATTTTATCATTTTAACATCCACTAAGCTCAGGCACTAACAGCAACGAAACACTACACTAGTCTCAGAAAGATGGTGACTCATTTCTTTGTACTCTTCCTACAATCTGGGGTCCTTTGAGAGAGGCGTGAGGAAGCATTTTTGCAGGCCGGCAAGGTGAGGATGGTTTGTGTATAACTGCTGTACCAGCTATCTTCGCGTGTGGACTTTATCATCATTTAACATCAGGTGGGGTAGAGTCATTTGCCTACCCGGCTATATATATAAAAAATCTCTAGTATTATAACTTTTTATGGCTGTTCTTTCGCAGTACAAGCCGTTCGCCTATGGAATGCTCTTCCAGTTGCCATGAGACGTGCAAAATCACTCCACATTTTCAAAAACCTTGTTAGATCTCACTATATGTCCTTGTAACTCTTCCATTTATGTTGATCTTAGCTTACTGAATAAGACATTGGTATGTATGTATTTATGTATACATTTATAACTATGTATATAAATATGTATGTATTCATGTTGGTATATGTATGTGTGTATTGTTTTATATACTTATTTTGATCATATTTCTTTGATTGATTTTTTATATTGTTTTGTGTAGTCAAAACACTGCCGCCTCTGCAGCTTCTTTCTTGTCCTCTCCATCCTAAGGTTGTCTGGAAGAGATCGCTCTTAGCGATAAGACCGCCCATTATTACACTGTATTCTTTAATTATGTACTTCATGTTTTATGTTTTCTGAGATGTGAAAATAAAGAGTTTTGTATTGTATAGTCGAATTTAAATTTGAATCAAACAACGTGACTTTACTGACTTTGGAAAAGTGTCAACCCTACCATATCGTGGCGTTTCCTCCAATTACCGGCGGCGTCCGCGTGGAAACGGTAGTAATTAAGAGATTCTTTCATGATTAATGGATAAATACTTAAAGCGAATAACGTTTTCAAGTTTAATGGCGAATCTCAGGGACTTCTATTAAATTTAATGTTGCATTCAGTCACGTGCTGTCTAGTACTACTGTTGTCGCAAAGGAAGTGATGAACAATGCAGAAACTTATTTCAAACTCGAAAGTTAATTGGAATCTCTCTGTGAAAACCTAAGCGAACTGCTTCACACTACTAGTATCGAAAGTAACGAGTAACGAAACGATACGATAGTAATGAGTATTGATTGTTATAGTAACGAATACATACGAGTACCAAATATCTCGTTACTTTTACAGCTCTACTCGCAATGCCGTTGATCTTGCATTCAAGATTATGTATGTGTAGGAAGGCCCAACACCAAAAAGGAAGATTTTCCTCCGAGCTGGGTGATGGGAGCTCGGGGGCCGAAACCAGAATATTGTTGGTCGGTCATTGTATATATAGATTGTTAGCATCCGAATTTCACTTGCGCGATGTAGGCTTCCATACGTATTGATTGCAGGGTCGGTAGCGCCATCTCTTGATGAGGCGAGTAATTATTTCCTCCATCCGTAGGATATATGCGGGGCATATGGATGTCGCCGCCACAAATATATGTAGGTAAGTATTTATGTAATTCAGGTATGAACGGGTTTCCCACAGACATCCAGCGAGCTATATTTAACTTGATCACAAATAGTTTTGCCAAAACTTATAATGATTCATAATACACGAAACGGAAATGTAATAATGTTCTATTTCGAGGAGGTTCTTCTTTGTTGGTAGATATTCTTT